ACCTTCGAGATCACCTCCCCCAACTCCGCGCACGCCGTCTCCCTGCCGCCAGCAGCCCCCATCAGCTTCCGCGTGGAGGAGCAGCAGCCCCTGCTGCGGCGGTACCAACTGCCCTTCCAGGACACGCAGCGCTACGACAGCTACTACCAAAGGAAGACCTACCTGAACGACAGCATGGGGAGCCTGCCCTCCAGCCCCTTCCGCATCACGGAGGACGACGAATACGAGACGACGCAGGAGTACGTCACAGCGCTAGAGCAGCCAAAGAAAACAGCCAGCAGCAACAGGCGGTGGAAAAAGTCCAAACTGAACGGGCACGTCCCCCACAGAGCCAGAGCTGTCCGGGACTCCTTCTCCTTCAGCAGCGCCTCTTACAGCGAGTCTGATGAGGAGCTGGTGGCCGAGAGCACGCCCTTCCTAAGCACTCAGAACAATGAGGCGACAAACACAGAGTCGCCGCCGCTCCACCGGCCGGGCGACAGCCGGACTCAGCACCCGTACAGCCGGCACAGCGCCCACGGGGGCAGCGGGCGCAGCAGCCTGGCGCACACGACGCCCAAACGAGAGCCCGACCCCCTCTAGGCGCCCGGCAGACGCACCGCACAGGGGAGGCGGCGGAGGGAGGCGGAACAAACACGAGACAAAAATAAATATTTTTATTTTATATAAAAGAGAAAAAAAAATATAACAAATAAAATGTTTTATTTTCATTTTAGCAAAGTTGTCTTATAATAGCTAACGGCGATGACTTTTTTATAGGGAATCTCTATTTATATGTAATGTCTTGATTTACAGCTTCCGAGAAAAAAAAAAAAAAAAGTAAAAAAAAAAAAGAAGAAACGAAAACAAACAATAAAGTTAAAAAAAAAAAAGGTGGGCCAATTTTTGACTACTTAAAAATAGAAACAAAAACTATCGTGGTGCCTTTTGCTGTATGCTAGTGCTGGGATTCATGCCGAGGATTCTGTTTCAGTAGCATTTTTAAGATCATAGATTTTTGTTTGGGAGACGACCTGTCACAAGGGTGCTCTTCCGTCGGAAGAAAACAGCCTCGCCACTCTGCCCCGTACCCTGCTATTAACGATCTTGTTCTTTAAGGTATTGTTTAACACACACCAAGGACATGAGTGGGAGCATTTCCATTACCATGTCTGATGGGGATCTGTCTTGCCCTGTAAAATACTTGTATTTTTGCTTAAATCGGGAGAAATAGAAATCCAACAGCACCATCCCGAAATGCAGAAACGATGTTTCTTTTGCCGCACAGGTAGGAGGAGAAAATGAAACCGTGCAGCAGCAGCCCTTAACAAATAGCTCTCAATCTTTGGCTCTTTTCCCTGGGTCCAAAGTTGGGTTGGCACAGGTCGGTAGTCCAATGCGTGGGACGTTTGTGTGACTGCGGCGAGGCGCAGCCCCGTTCCGTACGGCTCGGCCCGCATCGCTGCGCCTGCCCTGGTGGATGGGCGGCGGCGCAGCGCACGGCGGTTCCGGTGCCGCCCAGGACCCGGTGCCGTGCTGCCCGCGGTGTCCCCATGGCCACGGTGCTGTGCGAGCTGCAGTTCTCCATGCGCTGTGCTTGGAGCCACGCCTGGGAGCCGCTGGCCGTGCTGCCCTGGTGCCTGGCTCTGGCCCCGCTTGCAGACGCTCGGAAGGGCAGCGGCCCCCCGGGGGCAGCCCAGCAAGGGGGTTCCTCTGTACCGCCGTGCCGTGCGTCGTGAAGGCGGTTGTTATCGTCACATCTTGCTCTCGGCGACAGACGTCGCGTTTCCAAACCCGGAGCAGCTCTGCCCGTTGGCTCTGTGGCGCAAAGAGACAGTCCTGTGTGTCCGGTGGCAGAGCATCCCCGTGGAGGTGCCCCTCTCTCCTCAGTTCTCTGCAGCAAACCTGTTTACATTGTAGCCTGACTTTTTTCTTTTTATATTTTTACTTCTGCATGTCCTTTGCATTTCAGATACTGTAGATTGGATGCATGGTGAAGCTGTGACTGAGAAGATAATACAACAATTGACAGTGTATTTCATTTAACTTTTAGCAATAAAGTAACTAAACCCTCTATTCCTCACCCATGATGGGATCAGATAGAAAACTCTGCTAATTTGTCATAAGATGATTGTCAAAGTTTGCTCTGGATTGTCTGAATGTCAGAACTCTAGACTGTTTAACACTTGAACATTTTTTATATTATAAATAAAATAAGAAATAACAATCTGTGGGCGGCATTGATCTAAGGCAATCTGGGGGCAGTGGGGGACTGTAGCAAGGGCCACGCACAGAACCCAGCTGCTGGGGCAGGCAGGGACCCCTGTCCAACCCCTATTCAGGTGTCTTCACCTGCAGACCGGGGGGTTCGTGCTGTGCTCCCATCCACAACCACATTTCTTCTTTAGATCTTGCAGGGCAAGGCTGGCTGGCTAGCTCCCACACAGGGCAACCCCAGGGAATACAGTGTGTTCATGGGAAGCACAATTCCTGAGGTCGTATCAGCCCGACAGGAGTGGGCAGAGAGCTCCTGACCCCGTCCCAGGCATGGGGGATGCCCCAGGGGGAGGATCCCCGTGGAAAGCAGCCACAAAAAAGGGCTAGGTGGGTCCTTTAGGGGGAGGTGTGTTACTGCCCCATTTTTTCAGGCCTCTGTGATGCTCAGTACCTATCAGAAGCTCTGAGCCATGGCAGACTCACGATTTCTTGCAGTGATTTCTTGCTCAGTGTGTCCCTTGCTTCCGTAATCGTGTTCTATATTTGGAGGCAGTTACGCTACCTCAATTTTCTCTCCTATTGCCTCTGAAGGAAGCCTGCATCTCTCTCCTTCATCCCTCGCTGCTCTATTATTAGAGCCCTCATCTCCAGCCACGTGTATTGCTAGGGTTTAGCCATAAATATTTTAGAGCAATTTTCACAGGTGGGGGGAGCCTCTGGCACGTCCTGCCAGCGCTGCTCCGCATGCACGATGCTGCCTCTCCCAGAGGGTGGAACTGCTTTGCAGATGCAGATGGGGTGACGCAGGCAGCAGAGGAACATGGGACCTTAGCTTTGGGATTGCAGAGCCTCTGGGCAAAGCTGTTGGCAGTGTGCCCTCTGGTAGGTAAGATGCTCAGAACAACTGTAAAGGCATATGCACTTGTGTATCAGGACAGTCATCAAGCACAGGTAAAACTCCTGGGCTGAGGGTGTCACATCCACTGGGTCAGGACCCCACAGCTCTGAGGCCCTTTCCTGGTGCTCAGAGAAGGCTTCGCCAGACCCTGCTCCTCTCTGCAACTTACTCCTGTCCGAGGATGGCAAAATGGCGCTTTCAGCTTGAGGACTGAATAGCTCTTGGTGGCTTCTTCAGGCACACGGAGATGGCACTGCCTTCTGGAGGGGATGGCCAGAAAGGACAGGGTGAGGTACCAAATATTACCTGGGATTATGCAGAACAGGAGTTGGGCTTGAAGTTCCCCATGGCTCTCACTGAGTCAGAGGCATCTCCAGCACCAGCAGTGTCTTGGAGGTCTCCAGAACAAGGGATGCTGGCTCTTGTCTAACACAGCAAAGAGTGCAATGCGTTGGAGAAACAGCTCAGTGTTGGCAAGGGCTCCTCTGAGCACAGTATCCAAAGCATCTCCAACCGCTGGTGCAGATGTTGGCATCTTTCTCCTCCCCAAAACCTCCAGGCTGTGCGAGGACAGACAGACCAGGGATGGGCCAGACTGGGGGAAGAGTTACCTGAACGTTGCTCAAGCAGCCCATCTGCCTCACCAGCTCCACTGCTGAGCCATCCAGCCACAGCACGAGCATCCAAAGCACAGATGTGCAACGCTCCACTCGTAGAAAGGCATTGCTGCTTTCTGGTGCTGTCCATAGGGCTCAGCTTCCTCTTTGCAGGAGCTGATGGAGACCTGTGTGCATGTGGCCATCTAGGACCCGCAAAGCCAGCACACACTGGAACCACATTTCAAACCAATTCTCTTTACCAACAGATTCAGCTTTATTGTTATTCTTTTTAACATGATTCTTAGTGCATCATTTCAAATAAACTACCAAACTGTACAAAGAAACGGAGAGATAAAAGAAGAGGTGATAAAATTGGGTGGAGGTTTTTAGTAGTAAGAGCCATCATGGAAAACAGTAGTCCATAGGCTCTCCATTGTTGAAGATCCAAACAAATCTTGTTTTCTTTGTTTAAATAGTGCTGCAAAATATTAACAATAAATGACTGTAGTTAGCAGCTACAGGATCCTTCAAAACTGGAGCTTGGTTAACACCTAGGGGAAAGAAAAGCAATCTGAGATAAAGGACAAAACCAAACAGCAAAATAAATAAACAAGGTGTGGGAGGACAGTTGTGGCACTGAAATGCAGTGGAATCATTTCCAGTACGACGGTAAATCATCGAACCACAGGCAGCAGAAAGGAATGGAAACACAAGCCCCTTGAAAAGAGCATAGCATATGGATCGCAGAATGGAGGAAGTAGGACACCGATGGGCAGCCAGAACTGCTCCCGCACACAAAGGTTCAGCTGGACCTGAAGCATGGCTCCCACTACGCCTCGAACCCAAAGCTGTGGACGGTCAATAGCCACTTGGCCACTCTGTCTGAACAAGCAGGAACAGGAGAGCGCTGTTTCGCAGCAAAGCCAGGTGGGATTTCCATCTGAGTGGGAAGAAAAAGGAAAAAAAGAAACCAAAAGCAAATGTAGGCTACTGGATTTTTGCAGATGTCCAGATGGACTGTTCAGGCTCTCCATGGTCCCCAGTGTCTTCTCCGGGCAGCTTAACTTCTCTTGCACACTGAGGTTAAAAACCCACATTAAAGTCTCCTTATATATATATATATCTATTTATATATATATTCATATGTATATATATTTATATATATATAAAAAGGATAAGGTGACAGAGGGCACTTCAGGTCTCTCCTGCCGCGGGCAGGAGCCTTTCCCACGCGCTGTGCTGGAGATGCCTCTCGCGTGGTCAGTGAGGATCTCACAGAACGACCCCGCTGCGATGCGTCCTGCCCAGCACCAGCTGCTCCCGCTGCTCTGAGCCCTGCTCCCACAGCACTGCTGCTGCCACAGAGCCCGATGCGTCCGCCGAGTTTCTGCGCTGCTGGGAACTGCGGACGGGAACCGGTGGAAACTCCAGGGAGGAGGAAGGAGGGCTGGTGGGAGAGAGCAACCGGGCCCTGGAGAATAAACGTGTCCCTTTATTGTGCAGGCTGCGGTAAGAGGGAAAGAAAAGCCACTGGTGCTGTTGGGGACAAAGAAGAGACGGAGTATCTATGATGCTGAAATGCCAGAGCGTTGCCAAGGAGTGTCAACTAAAGCTTCTTTGACTTCTTTCACTAGAGCAGTCACCGTGTCATACACTTCTATGGTTTTGTTTGTATGATTTCCTAGATAAAATTGTGCTCATTGATCTAGTCCAGGAGCGCAAAGCACCGCCGGTTCATTCCCCCTGCATGCACGTTCCTTGTTAAGTGTTCTGCTCTATTATGTCCTTTTCCACCTTACAGCTAACAGACATATGCCCTTGGCTCAGAGAAGGGCTGGAATGCGTCTTCCGCAAAGCAATGTCGTCAGCTTCCACCTTGAAGAAGCTGGTTTCAATTCTCTCCAAGTCATCTGTCCCGACTTTGATCTTCATGCACAGCAGGTTGATGTATGTCTCGTAGCGACTTTTCTGCAGGGGGAGAGGGAACAGACAGAAAGCCTGTGAACAGGGACAGGCCATGCGTGGAAAGCTGTGGCAATGCCATCTGCTACTGCAGGAAAACACATTCCATATTGTCAGCACCCCACTATTCTTGCCCTACAATGCCTGCTCCAAGCAAAGCCTGAGAAGGCTGATCAGAAAGGGGATGGCTGTGCAAGCCTTTCCTGCTGCTCTGACAGGTCTTGAGTGCAGCTCTGATTGTTTCAGGTGTGCACTGGAGGCAGATGCAGACAACAGATCCACTCCTTCCTGCCTCAGGACATTCAGAGTCTCCACACTCCTTCCTGCCCTTCTGGGAACTCCATGACAACGTCTGCACTGAGCGCACAGAGAGCTTCACTCAGTTGGTACGAATCCCTCTACCCACATTGCTTCCATCCACAAAGTGATCCTCACTCCTAAGTCATGCCCTCATCGCTCTCTGCTGTTGCAGGCATCTCCTCTGCCTGACACTGTTATTCCAACACTAGATGGGACCTCTTTTTACAGACTTATGTAACACCCCACTCCTTTATTCTAATATCTCAAAGGAAGCCTACACTCGCTTCTCTGTCACCACAGGGAAACAAGCATTTCTAGAGCACATCTCATGAAACTGACGAGATGCATCACGCTCTGGAAGTGCCAGCTTCTTGCAGACTGAAAAGCTTGGACGGAGGCTTCCCTTTTGCAGGCACTGAAAACAAAATGTCTGCAAAATGGGGCGGCTGCAGGCAGCTATCTGGAGGGCTGGCACAAACACAGCGGCCACAAACTATGGCACTGCAGATTCAGGCTGGAGATGACAAGATGATCTTTCTTCAAGAGGGTGGTGGAGACCCAGAGTGCGGCCAACAGATTTTCAAGAGACGGCCAGAAAATGCCCCTCAGCCCAGGCTAATGCAGGGAATAGCCTAAACTCCTGCCTCCAGCAGTCCCTTCCCCAGTGCCTCTGTGTCAGGATTCCTATCTTGTGCTCAACTCTGTCTGGAATCAAAGATTCCATTTCTCCCATTAAATGCTTTGCAGAGCATTTAGGCTGAGCTCCACGCACCCTCAAAAACTCTGTAATCACCTGTAATGCTGCTTTTGGCTTTATTTACAGAAACAGCTGCAGCAAAACAAGACTCATTTCCCATGGCTTTTTTATTATGTTGCTGAAAACTGCTGAGGAACACTGAGGATTGAATTACTCCCTTATTTAGGACCTGAGGAAATTTCACGTTCCATCACAATAAAGGAAGATTTCATTTCTCTCATCAGTTTTCCCCTCCTCAGGTTAGAAATCACAGAGGCAATGTCTGTTCATTCTTTTTTTAGATTTAAAGGAAAACGGTGAGGCTTATCACTGTCACACAGCACGCATCCAGCCCCTGAGTCCTCTCCTCTCACTCCCCCTGGCTCACAGCACCCACTCCAGAGTTCTCAGTTCTCCTCAGTCAGCCAAGATATCATTTTTCACAGAAAAGATGAAAGTTCCTTTACCTCAAAAATTAGGTAATGTTCTTTGAGCCTGTACTCTTCAGCCTCTTTTGACTTGAGGCTCTTCTCTACAGGATGTGATTTATGCTCCGCTAATTCGTCTGCAATCTGCTTCATTTTATTTTCATGAGACCTCAGCTGTTCCTCCTGCCAAGAGAAGCATGTCAGGTATTAAAATGTAGGAGTGCACCACCTGCCTGTTGGTGTGGGACCTGTGTCTGCAAGGATGTACGCCCTGAAGGATGCAGCCCAGGGCACGCAGCGTATTTGTAAATTCATCTGGTAACGAGCAGCTGAAGCACAGGTACCTGAGGAAGATCAAAACTCATGTGCCAGCACCTGGACATCACAAACATGAAATCTCTGCATCCTTCAATATGCAGGCAGTGCCTTCAGAGCCTGTGCATCTGTGCCCTCTGGAGAGAAAGCACCCTCCCAGTCTGGGCTCTGACACCTGCTCAGAAGGCAGAGCTGCATCCCTACCCAGATCCTTTCAGGATGGCCTCTCCCTTCTCCTTTGCTGAGGGCAGTGTGTCCCCCCTGCTTGGAATGTTCGGTGCTCCCCAGACACTGCAAACAAGAGCTGCTCTTCAGGTGGCAGCTGCCCACTGCACTTGGCTAACAGAGCCATGCTCTGCTGCGCTGTGCCCCACACTCAGCAAACCTTCCCCATCAGAGGGACTCTCAGGCTCTGTAGCTTTCCAGCCTGAGAAAGAACAGGTTGCCACCTCTGGGTGCCATGTTATGAAAGAACAGGGCCTGCTGGATTCAGCAGCAGTTGTTGGTTCAACCCTGCTCAACAGAAAGCTGCTGGGATGTGCTGGACAGCAAGCAATAAACAAGACCAACAACCGTACAGGTGAGTGTGCATGCATAGCGATCATTTATGTTCACTGCAAAGGAGGCATCATCCACACACCAAAATTCACCATGGTTTGTCCAAATCACCCACTCTACTTGCCTGCTCCTGCCTTGTAGACAGTGTGTGCTGCTTTGAGCACCTGCACGCGTCAGCCAGGCAGAGCTGGAGGAGCTGCAGATGTGCTCAGCCTGAGCTGTGTGCTTATGCCTGAGCACCAGGCATTGCATTGCAGCTCCTCTCACACTTTACCTGACACAGCTTGGTCATGGACGAAGGCAGAAGTGGGCGGCAGAACTTCTTCATGGAGCAGATTGCAGCTGGGAAGGCTGGGGCAGAGAAAATGGCAGCAACAAGGTTGATTCGCAGGATCCAAGAGAGCATTTCTTCCTTACTTCTGTTACAAAGGAGATGAGAAGGCAGTCTCTAAGTGCTCCTAAACAAGACTGGCTCCAGACAGCCCTGGAGCCACCTTTGCCCTTGCTTTGCATCCATTCCTGGGCTGTCACCTTGTGAAGGGGAACACACTGGCTAACTGGCTGTTTTGCAGGGCTGTCCCTGAGAGTCCTGCCCTCCTTGGCAGCTCCAGTTATAGGAGCTGGGCAGGGGCTGGTGGCTGGTGGGCATTTCACTCTTTGGAGCCACACAGCAGAGGTCCCCTGAAACATGAAGCCCTTAGATGCTCATGGGACCCAGTCCAGGGTTTCTCATCAGACCAGTTTAGCACTGCTCCCAGCAGGCTTCAGGTGGGCTTTCCCTGCAGAAATCCAGATGCCATAGCCGTACCCTGACGCTAATGCCCCACCCCAGCTTCAAGCCAAGCTCCCTGATGGCAGCTGGCGGCAACGGAAGCATCAAGCAGGAGACAACTCAACCACACCTGACACTTCTTAATAAAGCAGCTTTCCTCTGTAACAGACTAAGGAAAGAAGAAGAAATGGCTTGGCTGAGGAGTTCGTTAATGATCTTTAGCACTTTTCCCATCAGAGGCCGATGAGAACTGTCAGCTCCTTGGTTCATCGCACCTTGTGGATTTTCTCCTTTCTGCAGACTGACAGCACACATCAATCAGGAGAGCTGCAGTGAGGACGCACCCACACTGCAGACAGCGGGGCAGCATCTGGAGGCCCAGCGGTGGTTTCAGGCTGGCCGGCAGCTGCAGTCCCAGCTGCTTGCAGTTTGGCAAGGTCAGCTCTGCGTGGGCACCCCACAGCTAGCACTGGCGTGTCACTTTTGGGTGGTATTCAAAGCACATTTTGAAACGGGAGAGGAAGTCACGTCCCTCCTCAGCCCTTCACCTCCGTCGTGCCCTGCCCCCACGTGTGAGCTGACGGCGCAGCAGAGGCCGTGCTGGCAGCTGGAGCTGTACTTACGGAGCCTGGAAGAGGAAGACTCTCCAGTCGGCTGTCTTCAGCTTGAGCACATTGGACTTCTTGCTGTAGTCAGAGGCTTTTGTGGCTAAGGCGTGGTGCACACGGATGGCATTTTTCAGATCCACTTCAGAGAGGTCTTTGTCAGGTTTGTATTCATCCTGTGAAGAAGGAACGTTAATTGGATAATGACTGTGCTAACATTTGTGGGCTACTTTAATGAACCTGCCTTTCTCTGTGTGCTGTAATCACAGAGTACCGAGACCAGGAAAAGCACTGCTTTGTACAGTAAATGCTAGGAGCTGATAATGATAATAATTAACATCTGGCAACTTCTTCCATCATTAAGTTCACTGGGAAGATGTGAAGAAGGAGATGAAAGTTTTAAACATAATTATCGATAGTTCTCTCTAACACGGCACATGCCTGAGGCTTTGGGGGAAGACATGAGACAGGCTGGCTTCTGCAGAGTTTCACCTTCTGTGCACAGCACATGCCGAGGTGCAGCTTCAAGCCCGCAGAGGGCTTCATGGGCACCTGGCAGACCGAACATGCTTGGTCCATACTCGGCCTCCCTCGAGTGTGTGTGACACTTTGGCACGTGTGTGTGACACTTTGGCACGCTCTTTCATGTAATTAGTTACACAGACACTCATAAACTGTAATGGTGCTCCCTGTATTCTTGCTGTACTTTCCCTTTCGGAGGATAATTTCACACAGCCAGGGAGTACAGAAGTAACTATATGTGTATACATTTATGAACATACAGAAAACAATACTGAAAATCCAGGCATGGCACTTTTTAGGAAAAAGAAGAGTGTAGTCAACCCTGTGCTCTCCCTTTGCTTTCCCAGTGATGGAGATGCAGCTACTTAGAAAAGTAAAAAAAAAATCCCTCTCACTCTGCCCCTCACTGGCTCAACATCTGGTCCACTAGTGAGGCAAGATGATGGATGGGTGGATGGATGGATGGATGGATGGATGGATGGATGGATGGATGGATGGATGGATGGATGGGTGGATGGATGGATGGATGGATGGGTGGATGGATGGATGGATGGATGGATGGGTGGATGGATGGATGGATGGATGGGTGGATGGGTGGATGGGTGGATGGATGGATGGGTGGATGGATGGATGGATGGATGGATGGATGGATGGGTGGATGGATGGATGGATGGATGGGTGGATGGATGGATGGATGGATGGGTGGATGGATGGATGGATGGATGGATGGGTGGATGGATGGATGGATGGATGGGTGGATGGGTGGATGGATGGATGGATGGGTGGATGGATGGATGGATGGATGGATGGATGGGTGGATGGGTGGATGGATGGATGGATGGATGGATGGATGGATGGATGGATGGATGGATGGGTGGATGGATGGATGGATGGATGGATGGATGGATGGATGGATGGATGGGTGGATGGATGCATGGATGGATGGATGGATGGATGGATGGATGCATGGATGGATGGATGGATGGATGGATGGATGGATGGATGGGTGGATGGATGGATGGATGGATGGATGGATGGATGGATGGATGGGTGGAAGGATGGATGGATGGATGGATGGATGGATGGATGGATGGATGGATGGGTGGATGGATGGATGGATGCTGGGGCCTGTCCTCTTCAATATCTTTATTGATGACCTCGATGAGGGCATCGAGTGCACCCTCAGTAAATTCGCAGATGACACCAAATTGGCTGGAAGTGTGGATCTGCCTGGGGGTAGCGAGGCCCTACAGAGGGATCTGGACAGGCTGGAGAGCTGGGCTGAAGCCAATAGGATGAGTTTCAACAAGGCCAAATGCCGGGTCCTGCACTTCGGCCACAACAACCCCAGGCGATGCTACAGGCTTGGGGCGGTGTGGCTGGAGGACGTTGTAGAGGAAATGGACCTGGGGGTATTGGTTGATGCTCGGCTGAACATGAGCCCACAGTGTGCCCAGGTGGCTAAGAAGGCCAATGGCATCCTGGCTTGCATCAGAAACAGTGTTGCAAGCAGGAGCAGAGAGGTGATTGTTCCCCTGTATTCAGCACTGGTGAGGCCGCACCTCGAGTGCTGTGTCCAGTTTTGGGCCCCTCACTGCAAGAAAGATATTGAGGCCCTGGAACGTGTTCAAAGGAGGGCAACAAAGCTGGTGAGGGGTCTGGAACACAGGGCTGATGAGGAGAGGCTGAAGGAGCTGGGAATGTTCAGCCTGGAGAAGAGGAGGCTCAGGGGAGACCTCACTGCTCTCTATAACTTCCTGAAGGGAGGTTGCAGTGAGCTGGGGGTCGGCCTCTGCTCTCGTGTCATCAGTGATAGGACCAGGGGGAATGGCTTCAAGCTACGGCAGGGGAGATTCAGGCTGGACATTAGGAAGTGTTACTGTTCAGAAAGGGTGGTCAGGCAGTGGAACGGACTGCCCAGGGAGGTGGTGGAGTCACCGAGCCTGGGGGTGTTCAAGGAAAGACTGGATGTTGTATTGAGGGACATGGTTTAGTGGGAGCTATTGGGAATAGGTGAACGGTTGGACTGGATGATCTTTTAGGTCTTTTCCAACCTTAGTGATTCTATGATTCTATGATTCTATGGATGGGTGGATGGATGGATGGATGGATGGATGGGTGGGTGGGTGGATGGATGGAGGATGGATGGATGGATGGATGGATGGATGGGTGGGTGGGTGGATGGATGGGTGGGTGGGTGGGTGGAAGGATGAACAAGTGGATGTGAGAAAACCTGACCATAATTGACCTCCCCCATACACTCAGCTCTGGTTGGTGAGAACTGCAGGTTTGTGCTCCCTGACCTTGACTAGCCTCATGATGTGGTTGTATGGCTGTGCTGCCACATAGAACTGTGGGCAGAACTGCCTTTTTGGATGGCTACTTAATCTGCTGTGAAATGACCGTGTCAGAGCCCAGACCAGGGCAGGGTATCTCTGGAAGAGCCTACCTACAGTGCAAACTTACAGTATTGCGTGATGTTGCCAAGCCCAGCCAGTAAGGATGTTCTTTGGTGCTGGGTCACATTAGTTTCCCCTCTGCAGCTCTTTAGAGCACAAGGGTCCAGCACACCCTAGCCCATGGATGTGCCTCCCCAGAGCCTTGCTCCTGATGGGAAACAGGCTTCTGAAGTCTTTCCCTCCCTTCTTTTCTGGAGCAATCATCCCTACTAGAAGGGTGGCTGCTATACTGTGCGTGATGCTTGGCTTTGTGCACAGAAATGCTATGGCACAAAGGGCCCAGAAAAATCTGGCACAGGTTCCTGCCTCAGGTAACTGCCTTTTTGAGGGCAAACCACAAAGAGAAGCCATAGCTCTCCAGCACAGGAAGGGGTGCTGCAGGCTCCCTGTGTTCCGTGTGACATTCAGAAGGGCTGCACCAAGGACGGTACAGACAATCTTTCTGCAGTGTGCTACTGTAGTGTTACTTGCTTTGGAGCTCCTCAGAAATGCAAGCCACAGCTCTATGTCTAAGTTTGGCAGAGCTGATTGCAGGAGTCACACTGAGGGTTTCAGTAGCAGTGGGCAGTGAGGATTGGGCAGTGAGACGTTAAGGGAAGAAAAACAAATACTTTGACTTAGGAGGACCTGTGTGACCTGATCTAGATGTTCCTGCTCCAGCAGGGGGACTGAACTAGATGATCTTTCAAGGTCCCTTCCAATCTCTGATATTCTGTGATTCTGTGATACGTTAGTTCACCTGTCAGCAAATGGGTGCACGAGGGAGATCATACTGCCATGCTACAGGGACACATCCAAGTCTGGATGCTTTTTCAAAGCTGAAACTCCTGGGATCTGAAGAAAAAGAGACTGGAAGTGCCGTGATCTCTTATTTCAGGATAAGCTTTCTGAAAACGTGGTATGAGTAGCTGGGCTTAACAGCATGCAACAAGAAACTGCCAGAGCTACAGGCTGGTCTGACTAACGCAGATCTTTACCCTAAACCAATTGCTGCCTCTACCGACACCAGGCTGATGGGGATCGGTAGATGTGTAATGAAAAGCCAGATCTTTTCTACCACCTGGGCCCACGCGATCTGCATCAGGTTGAATCAAGCAGGTTCTTTGCCTTGTGCCTCCCTGCTGGTGGCGAGGTGCGCAGGAGTGCATGGTGCTGCAGGCTCACTTCTGCACAGGCCAGCCATGCCAGGAAGCTCATTTCAATGCCTGTGCTGCAGAGTTCAGCAAGATATGTACTGCTGCTGAGGCAGGGAGATCCGTGTCTGCATTCTCCACAAGCAGCTCCAAGGTTGTGTGATGCCACGTGGTCAGCAGGAGCCTTCACAGTGCCCAGCACTTACACTGCTGTGCAGCCTCCCTACCAGAATAATTCCACTGCCCTCCAGCAAAGTGGGTGAGTTCTGCTTTGAAGCCTCCAGAGTCTTCTCTGCATCTTACCTCAGTATCTTCCTGAGTTTTGATGGAAATGGAAGCTTGTGTTTAAGCAAATGCTGCTGAAGGAATGTCCAAAAACCTAAGTGTAACATGGTTGCTTCCAATGAAAGAATTCTGGCTTAAATTTCAAAGAAAATTGATATATACTAAAACATAAACAATGTCCTGCCATGTTTGGAGGAACTGCAGGCAATGCTTTCTCCCTGCTGTCATACGCAAGTTTTACTCTCATCTTTTCCAATTATGGTGCTATTTTTCCACATATTTTCAGGCAGAGAGATCAGTGTGGTACCACAGTGCTGTTGAATTTATGCCTTCTGTGTCCTGCACTGTTCATATAAGCACTTGTCATGGGGCAGCAGGCAAGGTGCGACCTGCTCTGCCTGGGGGATGCTGAGTGTCATCCCACCTTCAGAATGCTTTGGAGACATCTTCTGCCAGGACTGAGCCCACGTGTGGGTGTGAGGGATTTCACAGCCCCTCAAAAATCATTTCATTCGCTCTCAACTTCAGTGCTGATGATGTAGACAGACTCCCCATTCACCTGTCCCTCCTGCATAAAAGGCTCTGCATGAACATGCACAACCATCCCTTGCCTGGACGTACTTTCTGCTATAGGAGTGCTCCACGATGGCCTTTGTTCAGTCTCTCCACTGCTGCCCCCTCTCATGAGCAGTGAGACACAGCTCGTAGAAGCTTGCTGTTAGTTTTCTTCAAGAAAGGGCATCTCTCTCTTGTACGTGTGTTTGTAGGACACCTGGATGGGTGAAAGCCCACCGTCGATTCTGCTGCCCTCCCATCTGAATGGCAGTGACTGAATATGGGCATAGAGCTACAGGGATTTTACACTACAGCTCGCAAGAGGTTTTCCTCATTTTCTTCAGCTGGCATGCACTGTTTCCAATGAGGAAAGCTAAGCCCTGTTCAGTCTGGCCAGGAACACGGCACTCCAAGCAAGGCCTGTCTGCATGGAACGTATCTGCAGTCCGGCGCAGCGCTGGGAACTGCCCCGTGGTGGGAAGCACTGGGACCCAGAGCCCTTCCAGTACTTCCACACAAAAAGCACCCTCTGCATTCCTCTCAACACTCCTCTACCTGTGCTGATTAAAGGCTATTATCCCCATTTCACAGAGCTGAAGTAAGTTGCCAAAGGCCATAGAGTGAATCAATGCTCACTGTGGATTAGAGTGCAAGAGAGGTGCGCCCTACTCACAAGCCTGCATTTCTTCCTCAAGTCTCTGCTGCATCCCTTTAGGGAATCAAGCAATTGCTTCAGCAGGCTGTGCTAGAACACGCTAACCCAGAAATTAACACTGGCGAGTCAATGACATGCCACATCTTTACATCAGCAAGTTTGTGGCTGCTACCTCAACTGCTTCTAACAGACTGCCTTCTACTCATCCACCACTTCTTGGCCTACCCTATGCCCACTCTCTCTGCATCTTTCTGTTCCCTCTTTCTATGTGTCTATCTCCCCAAGCCCTCTCTTTCACTCTCCCTTCTTCCCACTCTCCTCTCTCTGTGCCTCCCTTCTAGCCAGCTTGTTCCTCAAGACTTACCTGCATTGCCTTCTGACAGCTTCCTATTGAAGATGAGATCTTTGGCTCAGAATGAGCGAAACGTTGGAAGAGCCTGAACCAAGCCCCACGTGTCTGGAAGCAGGTGAGTTCTCCTCTGTTTTGAAAATCTCTTCTGAGAGACTTGTGCTTGAGCCAGGTTCTATGTTATGTTTATCTATAGGCATCTTCCACTGAGAGCTTAGGAGTCAAGCACCCAGTTTCCTTCCTGTATTGTGCAACTCTGCAAACTACCCATAGGCAAGAAATTGTACTAGGAATCAACAGTGTGTGTTGAAGTTTACAGCACTCTGTTGTGATTCTAAAAATGCTCTGAAGTTGCAGTGCAAGGACTTAGTCTTTGTGGCCTCATCTTTTTGTCCTCCCTCTGCAAAGCCCAGTGGATACTGTGTCTACAGCCAAACCCAGCCCGGGGAGTCCTTTTAGGAGGTCCATACGCAGTCTAACAGCAGCTCACGAGTAAGAAATCTCTCCTTGCTCAAATTCTTTGCTGAAATTTTCTTCAGATTAATTTTTTATTGTTCCTTATGCGGTTTCCTTGGGACATGTTTTGCTTCTTCAGCCCTTCCTGGTAAAGAAAGCACTCAGTCTTTTAACCATTTTCTTCTGAAGATCACCAAGATAAACACATTAGCCTTCTAACAGCCGTTTACCTCTGTGTATCTCATCCTCACTCTCTTTTTAAATGGCAAACTCCTAACACTAACAAAACAAGCTGTGTTAGTGAAGCAGTCTGGACAACCACCTGCCATGTACAGAAAGAAAAAGCCAATCCCCCACGCCACCAGCAGCAATGACACTCTGTCTCATGGCTTCTTCTAGTGTTGTCCTAACAGTCAGAGAATCTTCAGCAAACTAGATTTTGTTCCAGACTGGCAAGAAAATTGTGTCCTGACAGTGTATTCCATTCAAAATGTATGCTCCCTCAATAGACTCATCCCAAGAGATACGACCTAAAAGTGACTGGTGAAAAATTACTGAATCACAGAATTGTAGGTATGGGAAGGACCTCTGCTGATCACTGAGTTCAACTCCCCTGCTGAACCACTTCCCTACAGCAGGTTACACAGGAAAATGTCCAGGTGGGTTTGGAATATATCCAGAGGAGACTCCACCACCTCTGTGAGAAGTTTGTTCTTTTGCTCTGTCTCCCAAAGTAAAGAAGTTCTTTCTTGTGTTTAGACGGAACTTCCTGGGCTTCAGTTTGTGCCTGTTGCCCTTTGTGTCTTGCAGGACAGCACTGAAAAGAGCCTGGCCCCATCCACATGATTCCCACCCTTTAGATATTTATAAACACTGAAAAGATCTCCAAATTCATTTAAATCCAACTACTTCCTGTGATACTGATAGAACAGCAGAAAAACTGTCAAAAAAATCAAAAGGTGCTTGCAGTTTTGTTCTAGATAAACCCTTGTGTGTAATCCACGGTCAGCTTGAGGATCCCTTCACTGGACTCTACACACACACCTGCACTAATTCTGGGCCGTAAGAAGAGGGCCACTGACTTGAAGTTGGCCAAGCTTAGAGTGCTGGAAAAAGTTTTGTGCACTGCAGCTTCCCTCAGCTGCAGGAGAGGGTGACAAGGCTGTTCAAATACCACATAGCAAATTACAATTAGCTGCTGCCAGATTTCCATTGGCTTTGTGACATGTGCCATAGGATCTGGCAAAACACGAGAAACATTGGGGTGTGTTAGGAGCTCTGAGTCATAATTCCATGCTGCCCTGAGGATCTTTCTGCCTCTTATATAATCCAGTGTTTGTTTATTCTTATTGCTTTGGAGATAATACTGCAATACGTAGGAACATCTACCCACAGGGAGTGCTGTTTCAGCAAGGTGAGTTCAGTGGGTTACTTCACTGCTTTTGCAACTGAAGTAGTTCACACCTAGTTCAGTGGGTTATGCAGCTTCGTGACGAACACACATTTGGCATCCCTGGCTGGCTCTCACTAACATTCAGGTGAGGCCTTATCCAGGCTCCTTATATATTCCCACAGGAAAGACTACCCATGGGAATCCTCCTAGCATCCTTCAAAGACAGAAAGGTGAATGCCATAGCATGCAGGAATGGTCTTCCATGGTGACTCTGCTTCCCAAGAGGACCTGGTCTTTATACTCAAGGTGGCGATGGAACTGGGGAGCTGGAGAAAACTCTATGGAACAGAGTGCAGGAAGTGTCACTTTGCAGCCAATCAAAGACAAAGAGCTTTAAGCAGGGAGATGTTCATATCAGACTCATGAGAGATAATTATGCTCAGATCTATTCCAACAAACAGAACAATAATCAGGACAATATTGGTCTGACAACCTGCCTCTTCAGTTCCCTGAATTCCATCCTATTGCATCTGTTCCATATATGTTCTACTCATCAGCATCCTCTGCTTACTTACATGTCTTGCTTATACATCTGCACAAGTCCAGCCTCTATATTTCCTCTTTCGTATTTCCTCCTATATGAGTCACTTTTAAGGCTGTGAATGGCACCATCAGTGTGAACACCACCATCAAAGATGATGGCATTCTCCAGTTCTATATACCGGTCTCTGGAGGAGTTCTGTTTATGTCCATGCATGCATTACGACATAGATTCACCTCTACTCGCATGTATGGGCTTCCTAAAGAATGACTGCTTTGGAGACAGCATGAAACAGCAAATGGGATAGTCCACCACAGTTACCTTTTGTAAATAAAGGATGGTCCCTTTAAGCACAGCATAGAATTTCTTCCAACCTCTTCTTCCTCTGGGAGCTAAAAAAAATGAAGAATATCTAATTATACACATCTGCTTCTGACAGCACTGCTTGACTTTCACATGTTTTTGCAAAACCAACCCTTTCCTGACCACCAGAGGCTGCATTTATGCCCACATCTCATACACCTCCAAGCTACTGTTTATGAATCGTTTGTCTGCAGGGAGATGTCAGTTTGAGAGACATGGCTTGGGAGATGAAATCTCCCAGTGAGAACACAAGCAGCTCAAAACCAGAGATGAGCTGGTACAGAGCTACCAGTGGACACGTACAGGAAGTCTCTGCTCCTCCAAATCCAGGTAACCTGTTCTTTGGACGATATGCTTGAGGAGCAGAGACATTCCCTGACTTCTCTGGTTCAGATGAGTTAGGCAGACATATCCTGGCTAAAACAGCTTCTCTCCACTGAGGAGGGAACTTTACCACCCACAGTCTTGATGGACTTGGTGAAAAAAAGCTTGCTGAAAACTGGAGAGGGGTGGAAGATGGGCCTGACTACATCACAAGAGAGCTGGTCCTCCAGGCATGGGCTACTAAGAAAGTGCTGGAAGCAAGGGAGGCCTTTGGTGGCAATCCTCTCTACTCAAGGTTTCAACTGGCTGCAATGAGTGGGGCATCTATATCAGCAAAAGTAGTCATCCAAGATTTAATTTCATTAATCACTGCTCATTAACAGTTCCCAAATATAATTCCATTTACTTTTCCTGTAATACAGAATACTGACAGCAGAGCTATGAAGCAACTTGTTGCCCAGCAGCCTGCATACATGGCAGCATATAGACAGGACCAAAACTTTGAAGACCAGATTGTCCCCAGAGTCAGCCTGGGGGGACAGATCTTGTGAACTAGCCTTGCCTGTTGCTCAGAGTGTAGGGTTTGGGGTTATGCCCATGAACAGGATGGAAGACCAGGTCTGTCTGTGTGGGACAGGCACTGCTAGTGTCCTTGGCAGTGAGAATGCCTCAAAACACCCTCCTTGCCCTGTGCACTGGTGCTTATGCATCTGGGGGTCTCTTTTGTGTTCCCTGGGAGATAGTGAGAAAATGCCGCTCCGGTGGGAGAGCCAGGGAGAAGGCCAGGGCAAGGCTTTGTGACTGCCTGGGGCACGTCTCCTGTCCCATGAACACGTACTTCTCTTCCCATCCATGTCTGCATGGGTTTTGCGCGTGAGGACACCGTGCTTGTAGGTGACTGCATTCAGCGCTTGGGGGATGTCCAGGAAGGGGTTGCTGCTGTCAACAATCCTTGTCACTTTCTTTGCACTGGCTCCAAATTTGTCGTCTACCAGCTCCGAGAGCGATTTCCTCAACTCGTCCTCATCACTTGGAAACAAATTCAAAGAAGACATTGAGTGGAGGACACATGGATTGGGTCACAGTGTGCCCTATCTGCTTTGGTCTTACAGGGAGTTAATTTATTATAAGACTAGCCAAAAAAGAAAAGGAAAGGAGACCCAGGGACTGTAACACACCAAGTGTGCCAATGGTGATGATCTACATAGAACTGGGAGGAGTGTGAGTGGCAGGTGACTGTCCCAGAGCTCCCACTGTTAGGTTACTGAAAATGCTGAAGGTTTAAGTGCCTGTCTGAACACCAGGAGTCCGCAGACACTGCACTGCAGAGCACTCTATGCCTTTCACAGGGAGAGTCCCCTACTCCCAGCCTCACATTCACAGCTTTGGGAGGTCTTTTGCTGAAGACCAGGTACGACAGGGGTTTATCTGCTTCTCCTTGTGAGACAGTTGCTGGGGCCTCCTAGATACCAAAGGAGGAATGTTTTCTGCATCTCTGAGGCACAAAAGCTCCACAGATATTAGGGAGATGGGGCACTTGGTCAAACAACTACAAACTCTAGAATAGGCTATGCATCCATCTCCATTTGTGGCCAGGAGACCTCGAGAAATGCTGGTGACTTCCATGAAAACCTGTCCTCGCACATCTCCTACTCCTGGATTCTGGACAGCAAGGGTTGGGCAGCTCAGGGAAACACTCAGTGACTCCTCCAAGCTTGCTTCTTCCTATTTGAAGTAAAATTTAAAGTAGCACATAGAAACTAGAACCTGTATGGGAAATGGTATTTCCCCAGCATCCCCAGCGTTCGCAGTTAAGGACAGCGAACAGGGATTTTCTGCCTTGCGTCACACACGGTGGCATCTAAATGTCCTGACTAGATTAAATCAGGTTAGATCAGGTTGGGATCAAACCTCAAATGTGTGAGCAAGAAGGACCTGGGGGTCCTGGTGGATGAAAAACGGAACATAAGCCAGCAGTGCTCTCTTGAAGCTTGGAAGGCCAACGATATCCTGGGCTCCACCAGAAGGGTGGCAGCAGGGACAGAGAGGTGATCGTCCCCCTCTACTCTCCTCTTGTGAGGCCCCATCTGGAGTACTGTGTCCAGGTCTGGAACCCCCAGTACAAGAAAGACAGAGAGCTGTTGGAGAGAGTCCAGAGGAGCCACAAAGATGAGCAGGGGGCTGCAGCACCTCTCCTATGAAGTCAGGCAGAGGGAGCTGGGCTCATTCACCTGGAGAAGAGAAGGCTGTGAGGAGACCTCATTGCAGCCTTCCAGTATTTTAAAGGGGATTATAAACAGGAGGGGAATCAACTTTCTACTCGGGTGGACAGCGATAGGACAGGGGGGAATGGTTTTAAGCTCAAGGAGGGAAGGTTTGGATTGCACAGCTGCACACAGGGCTGTGGACGCCCCGTCCATCCGTGGAGGTGTCAAGGCCAGGTTGGATGGGGCCCTGGGCTGGTATTAAACTTGCAGGTTGGTGGCCCCGCCTGCAGCGGGGGGTTGGAACTCGATGGCCCTCGGGGTTCCTTCCAACCCAAGCCGTTCTGCGATTCTATATCCCACTACCTGGGAAGCGAGCGCCTACAGCACATGGCTGGGCGTCGTAGGCAGGGATGCTTCACCGCCCAGACGGCCACAAAGCGGCGGCAGAGGGAGCGAGGCACCGTCGGGCCGGGCGCTGCCGTCCAGCACCATCCTGGCGTCCCTCCGGCAGGCCGGGCCTCTGGCTGAGCGCCGCCCGCAGCGCCCGCTGCAGTCCCGCACGGCGCGGCCGGGCGGAGCGGCGGGGCTCCCTCTGCTGACCGCGGCCGCCCGCCGAGCGGGCCTGCGTCGCCGCTGCGGAGCCGGCTCCGGGGCTTTGCTGGCAGATTCGCCCTAAGATTGTTGTCACAGCGCTACCCGAGCCGGCCCCGCGGGGACACCCCGCCCAGGGGTCCTGTGGGACTAAGTTCTGCCCAGGCATTCAGAGGGAGGGAGAAGCGAGCCGCCTCCAGGCACTTCTCCGGGTGAACGTCGGGCAGTGGATAAAACGGCACAGAAGGTCCCGTTCGGTGCCACGGTGCTATGGAACAAGGCGGTCCTGTGCTGCCCCGTGGCCCCAGGTCTGCCCGGGCTCTCCTCGGGCGGCCGGGCGCTGGGAGCACGCCGCACCTCTGTGCCGGGATGCGGCCGTGCTGCAGGCACACGGCGGCAGCGCAGAAGGGGAAGAAGCGCAGCGGGACGCTGCCCTGGAAGCCGCCGTGAGAGCTGCTCCCAGACCTTTCAGGGCAACGGGAGGTGAGTCTGTTCTCTGTGTATGGCCGAAGGGGAACAGATTTATTTCATTTACTATCTTTATTAACGATTTGGTGGAGGAGACAGAGTGCGTCTCATCAAGTATGACATAAAAGCGGGTTGTGCAGTTGATACTTGGAGAGCAGGGGCACCAGTCAGAGGAATGGGAGCCTCGCTAAATGCAGCACAGAACGATGCTAAGTACTGCACTGGAGTGGTCCTGCAGAAGGACAGACTGGAACTGACTGGGGAGCAGCTCTGCAGAAAAGGCCCAGGAGTTCCTGGCAAACAGCTGGACAAACAGTCAGCAGTACGGCCTGGCAGAACCAGAAGCCAAGAGCACTGTGGGCTGCATGAACAGTAGCACAGGGTGGAGACTAAGAGAAGTGACCACTGCCCTCTACATCATACACAGACACAGCAACCAGTACTCGGCCCCAAATACAGGGAAGGCGTCAACAAGCTGGAGAGCTTAGCACCACCATGATGCCCAGAGGCTGAAGTACTTGGCTCTTGAGAACTGACTATGGGAAGTGGAATTGCTAGAGAAGAGATGGCTTTGGAGGACCTGATCACAACTTTCCAGTACCTGAGGGGGATACTGAGTAGACAGAGCTGGGCTCTTCACTATGGTTCATGGCTGGAGGACAAGTGACAACAGATTTCAACTGGATAAGAAGAAAAGTCCCTCTTGGGATAATTAAACATTGGTTCATGGACCCAGGGGATTCTGTGTGATCACTACTGTTGCAGGTTTTCAAGATCCATCTGGACAAAGTCCTGAGCATCCTGTTCTGAATTCAGCATTGATCCCACTCCGAGAAGATGCTGGACTGCAGACCTCTTGAGGTCCCTTCAAGCCCAAGCCCAGTTCTGTAATTATAGAAGGAAAGGTGTAGAAAATAAGGGAGGTTTCAGTGATCTAAATAACCCTATTTCCTGAGCTCTTTGAGCAAAGATCATGCTCTGAAGAACCTGGACAGGGCCTGCACTTTATGGATGTAGCAGTAAATAAAGGGGACATTCCCATTGTTTCCACTGTGCCTATGGACCCTGCACCCACAGACTGCCACCAACCTCCATGTCTGCTTTTCTGTCGAAATGAACCCAGCCTGCCTACATGAGGGACATTGGTGCTTAAGGGCTTGGCAGGAAACGTTCTGGAAACTTCTAGAGCTAAAAACAGTATTTAAGACCTACCAGCTACATTGAAAAATACTCTCTCAAATACTTAACATATACTTACATGGCCCACTCCAGCTTCTCATTCTTGATGGAGTTATACAGTGTCTGCAACAAGAACATGCTATTAGCTGTGTCTCTCATGGAAGACATGCCTGGGTTGTGGAGATCACCTCCTCTACACCCTTATCTGTGTTCTCTGTGTTATCTGTGTTCCTTTCCTTGGAAACCGACCTGGAGAAGTATGTACTAGTGAGCAGGACAGCTGCTGTCCTAATAGACCATTTTCTGTCCATGAGCCACACAAGCAATTGGACTGGACATGTCAGCAGCAGAGAGGTAAGGAGACATCCTTGCTCAGGTGCCCATCTGTGATACTTCTGCCTAATTATAGGTACTGCATCTAGAGAATTGTGGCCTACACAAAGTTGGTAAAAGAAACTGGGGTACATGAAGACACCTTCCAATATCTCAGCTCAGGGCAGTGTGGGCTTGTGCACTGCCCTGAGAAGCAGGAGAGGGACAAATAACTTTGGGGTTCAGTTTTTCCAGTTCTTCCTGTGCACAATTCCAGTGACTCCTCTGATGCACTGGGAAAGAAGAAAAGAACTAGGGAATCAGAATGCAGAAGCGGCCTCAATACACAGGAGGGTGTTAGGGTGAGGATAGTGGGAAAGGTTTTATCTAAAGCTCACTGTGACAGCTCTGATGTGGCTCTGGTCCTTTCAACTCCTTCCATACTGTAAAATCCAGACCAGGCTGTGGCAAGCACAGACAGTGGTGGTGGTGTTAAACCACATAAAAAGAGAAAATACAAACTTCGCAGTGTCTGAGCAATCTCCCTTGGTACTCAGCTAGTTGCACTGGAGCAACTAGTACACTTAATTACATGGAATGGAAGGCAGAGAAAAGTATCTATGCCAGATGGCTATATTTCTGGGGAGTGTTTTGTTCAATATGTTGGCTGGTGCGTCACAGAACTACCATGGTGGAAAGGGACCCCTGGGATACTCTGAGAGCAGAGAAATCCCTGGATAATCTCGATAAAACACCAACAGGGAACAGAGCTCTGATGGCTCCCTGCAAGTTAGCAGAAGGTGTCCATTTAGGCTGCAGTTCTTCTAATAAAGTAAATGCATGATGGAAAATGCTGATTGTCATAGGAGGACTAGGTGGCACTACAATAATAATATCAGCATCCCACTGTCTAACGTGTGTCACATTACCTTCAGCAAATCCTTTGCAAAGTCCTTCCCATCGTTGAGCCCATCCAGGTTTGTTATGAACTGTTGACACGACATCTTTTTGCCAATGTTCTGCAAGGCAAAGAAGCAGCTTATTAAACTTCTGGAAAGTTTTGACTTCAGTGAGACTGTTTTTTAAAGAAATATTTTATATATAGTAGCTCAAAGCTAGAAGGGGGCATTCTGCTCTGACTTTCTGTTGGGCTCTTTGATTTCTTTCCTCATATCCAACAACATTCAAACATTTCAAATTTCTTTTTATAATGATGGAGATAAAACATCTGAAAACAATTCCAGCTCTTGCTCCAAACTCTCTAAGTGATCTTATCTAATCTCTGGCCTCCAGGCAGGCCTTGGTACAGAAACTGTGCCTCAAAACTCAAGACAAGTGCTCATACTCTTGTAAAGTAGTGGAACTTGGGTGGGCCTCAAAGCCTATAATGTGTGAAAATGTGGGAGCATGCAGTATCAACATCTGAAGCACTGGGAAATGACTTGTCTTTGATGGGAACTTATTTTTGGTTGCTGTTACAAAGAGATCTAGTGACCATGTGAACTTGCATGCTATGGTGTGTGAGGGCGATGCCCAGATACTGAGACAATCTCATGACTGAAACATCATCGTCACTCATCACCAACTAATGCCGCAGTGACAATTTGGTGCTGGAGCTGCGAGGTCATCTGGCATCCCTGATATCAGCCTGCAGCACCTGTTTTCCCTTACTCCTCACAATAGCCAGGTGAGTCACTTTCTCATCTTGCAAGGATTGAGGGGCTGGAGGCAAGTGGCTCTTTGCCTTCCCCTGCAACCAGAGCTCTCCAGAGGACTGCAACAGAGGTGTGGAGGAGCCAGTGAGTGCTGTAGGGTTCAGAAAAAGGAGTCGGATACTACAAAGAAAGGACAGGTGTTTCTAGCATCACATCATATTGCAGCTTCCACACCCTGGAGTGAGTCCCCAGGAACAGACTCTGTGGTGATAGAGCATGGAGTGCACAGTGCAGTTAGTGAGGTGACATGAGGTACCACCAGTGATCCTAAGGATCCCGATACCATCCTGCTGCTTGAATGGGACCTGCATCAAGGTGCTGATAGGGACCTGGGAGGAGGGATAAGAGCAGCTGAGCCAGGACCCCGCTTAGAGATTCGGTGAGAAGAAGGGCCTTGCAGGGAGAGAATAAAGCTGCAGTAGACAACATAGGAGGTGCCATACAGAGAAAAGTGTCTTCTCTGTGCAAGAAAATAACCTCTTGAAAGAGACCAACACCAGGAGCCCAGCAGATCTGAGGGATTTGTCCCCAGGAGAAGGCATCAGCAAAGAGCGAGGCCCTGGGGTTAACCTACAGCAGACACACCATACCAGCCACCTGTGACTGCAGGCGTACTCTTCGGCTGTACAGGGAGCTGGTGCTGCCTTCAAGCAGCTCTGCCTGAAACTCTATAATTATGCCTCCTGTTGGTGCCAGCTCCAGATGAACTGGCACCCCAGAGATCAGGGAAAAGAGGAATAAAGTACTGTAATGAATCTGCAGTGCCTGGGGACTGCAGACAGCAGTGTGGTGCAGCATGAGGATCAGCCATCTCAGGGGCTATTGCCTAGAACGGGACCCCATAGCTGGCTGCTCCTGCAATCCAGAGCTCTGTGGGGGGTCCAGACACAGGAACATGCAGGGAAGACTGCAGACATGCTGCGTTTCTTCAGCAGGGGAGGGGAAGTTTGTGTACTCGCTGGCTAGTGAACAGGGTGAGTGAGCATGTAAAACCCACAGCAATGAACCTGCAGGATGGAGGAAGGTTGGAAGTGAGGAAGGAATGTTGCCTGAGACCTTGAAGTACCAAACCTGGCTCTTTCTCCTGCATGAGAAGATCTCAGAGCTCAAACTGAGATAGCAGCAGCGCTGTGAAAAAGCAGCTAATTGCTGAGCATCCAGGGAAGATGAAATCATACCCTTCCTCTGACAACCAGAAGAGGTGATGAAAAAGCTCCAACAAGGATGTTAACACTGTGAATAAGCTTGCTGGACCAGGCTGTCAAAGCACTGCAGAACCAGGGGCAGGACACAGGCTGCTGTCAAAAGGATTGTGCACAGGTTGCTGTGGCGGTTCAGACGCAATACCTCACATCAGCAATATCTTAGCACATCAGCTTGCTGCTCCGAGGCAGGGGCTGGAGCCAGCTACTCAAATCTATTGCCCTGCAAGTGCTTCCAAGTCAAATCCAGCAGAGCAGAGAAAACAGAAAAGTGCTCCAGGGCCTGTACTTTTCAGCTTCAATTGATCAATACTTGCAAAGAAACTGTACTGTGATCCCAAGTGTCTCATAATGGACAGCAGCAGCACCAGGAACTGCCTGAGCTTTCACATATTACAGTTGTATTCAGCAAGTATGAGGAATCCCAGGAACAATTCCAGAAGGGGATACCAGGAGGGCAAAGTGGGCTGCCTTCCTTCCTATGCAGTAGGCCATTCAAGATTCTGCTGAATCCATCAGCATGACCACCATGTGTTTACATAATATTCCAGGGAAGCAACTGCACACTTCAGACATCAGTGTTCTGATGTTCTATGTCCCTTGGGCAGGGAGATGTGCTTTTTAATTTCTGGTCAGACAAATAGATGGGAGCATTTTGCTTTTTTTTATGATACACTGGTCACGTATGAGCTAAAAAACAAGCCAGCAAAGCTGCTTCATGGTGCCACATAGCCACTATTTTTGATATGTCCTCCTGGCAGAAAAGATTTTATCCCATCTTAACTTGCTCCAGGCCATGCAACAAAGCGTAAGAAATCACTGTGAGGTGATCACTTGGCACTGTGATGTGCTTAGATGGAGGTGGAGTGAGTGAACAGGCTAAAATAGATGAGGAGTGATAGAAAGTCAGATGAATGGGTAGGACAGGTAAGGGAGTGGATGGGCAGAGATAGATGGCTGCGGTGGATGGGAATGGATGGATGCAGAGACAACACACACTACAGTGGTTAAGAGTATAAGAATGAATTTGGAAAGATGAGGTTGGTCTGATAGTGGGTACACAGGGCTGATTAACACAGTTCAATTCCTATGTTCACAACTGGGATCTTGCTGCTTCTGTGCCACAGCTGACTCATCCAAGACAACTGCAGTGTTCAGGTTGCCTCTTCCAACCTTTGAAAGACACTGGGCTGTAGCTGAGTGTTATCTGGCTCTTCAGAAGTCATGGCATCAGGAGGCTGGGCAGGTACATATGGGTGAGGGAACACTGAGTGCACACTGGGAAAAGCCCCGGGAGGAAGAGCAGCTTGCTGGGGGCCAGAGGCCATGGAGGGTGGCTTTCTGGCCTGCTCCTTACAGCCCTCCCTCTTAAGGTGTTAAAACATTTGAGCTGGAGGCCATGGGCATCAAACAGCTATGAAGTGGTGAGTGGAGTGCATCTCCTGTGAGCTCCCCAGCATGAGCACCCTGCCCTGAGAAGGCCCTGCTTTTTACTTAGGCTTTCTTGGCCTCTCCCAAATACTCATCTGTGAAAAAAGAAGGGGAAGGTAAAGGGCAGGGTAAGGGAAAAGAGGAATAACACAAAAAACAGAAGCTAAACTTATGCTTCAGCATGAGGTGAGGACTGTTGGTCTCACTGGGCTGAAGGATTTGATAGAGAGTCTGTTTCAGGTTGCAGAATCAAAATCGACCTGCAGAAAATGATCCTGCAGACTGTGGGTGCCGATGACTGCTGGACCACACAAAGCTGCTCTGGGCAGAGTGCTGCCACTCTCTAGGTGGCTTCAGCAGCTGCTTGTAACTTAAAGCCCTTCAGCTCTCAACGCTCTACTGACACAACAGAATCTGTAGCACCAAATCATAAGGTTGGCTTAAAGGAGAGTATCACAGGGTTTGTAAGACTAATAGCAATGGCTGTGGGGTTGGGACCTGCGAAGGATCCCATTTCATGCTTTTTTCAGTGGCCATGAGAGCTGCTGGTTTGCTTTTTGAATGGAAGGCTTGTCACACCACAAGGTGACTCTAGGAGCTAGGCTTTGGCACAGTGCTTGGTACTCTTCAACACAATATAACCTGAGTGCTGGTGATGCATAGGTGTTAATTTGTCACTGTCTTTGGGTGGCCAGCTGTTCTGAACAGGGAGAAGGAAGTGCATTGAAAAAGAGACATCCCAAAGCTTTGCATATGAGGGACAAAGATGGAGGAAAAGAGTGCTTTGTTGTGAGATCTCCTGGAGCTCAAATGGCACCAGAGCACGGTACTGAGTTGCAACAACCTGATTTATATTGTAAGGTTTGCAATCCTGCTGGGTTTTAAACAGCAGGAATCATGTAATTCTATAAAAATGGAGCATCTCTTTTTAAAGAAGTACATTTCCTGGGCGGTTTGGAAACAGCATCTGAGTGTGCCAGCAGTATTGTTAGCAGTGCTAAATCAGAACTCCAGTGTGACCACGTGCAAATCTCATGTTTTAAAGCCAGTCTCGTTAGGTTGAGGCTCAGGCTCAGTGTATATCATTGCTGGAATGGAGAAGGAGCCCACTGTGAAGACACTGCTGTATACAATCAACCCTTTACCAAAACACCCCTGTTCTCCTAATCCGAGGAATTTCCAACTCTGTGGCAGAGGAAAACACTGAAACAGACATACAATATTACAACGAGAAATAAAAAAATGAGTGATATGCAATACCATGACAGCATCTGCAACAAAACAACGGGTGAAAGACAAGTCACACAGCCCCAGGTACCCTGCAGCTTGGGGAGGCTTCTTTGCACAAGGAAAATTTCTTGTGACTCAGATCACCTGCTAATGGGTTGCCGAGGAGTGAAGGACACTGCACAATGACTTAGGAATCCGGACAAACAAAATGCCTTTTTTTTTTTTATACACAGAAAAAAAACAAGTCAAATGCTAGTGCTTTAAAGCAAAACACTAGAACGACTGCACTTACCACCTGGTAAAGGGTTAAAGAGCAGAAAGAGAGGTTCCAGGAGCAGAAGGAAGAGGGGAAAAAAAAAAAAAAAAAAGAGGAGGAGAAGAAATTAATGTTACACAGAAAAAATAAAGAGAAGATTTTTTCAAAGAAAAGCTCAGGCATTTCTATATCTGGTCAAAAGAAAGCTGTATTTTTCCTTGCTTAATTAGCGTGTGGTCATTTCTTCTTACCAAACCTATTATCAATGAAAAACGAATGCTTCACAAGTGCACCAGTGGTATCATCACCATTAGGCACTGGTAATGCCTTTGCATCTATGTCACCACAGATGAGGAGCATCCATGTGGTGCCCTCACCTGTACAGTCTGAGGCTCCCTTTAAAGGTGATTATAAGCCAGTCTGCAAATAAATCAACGTTATGTCCTACTGCCACCTTATTAAAAGCATAATGAAGAGAAAATCAGGGCAAGTCTCTGAAGATGCACGATGAATTGTTACCAGTTGGAAGCAGAAGAGGACTGTGGTAATACAGCTTGGAAATCAATGGGGCTGTGGAGCAGAAAAAGGGACTAAATCTAGCATAGGTTTCACATGTGCAGTCTGCAGTAACAAGCCTTCTCCACTCCGTGGCTCCATGCCTAAGTTCTCAGAGGTGAAAGAAGGAGCTTCAGTGAGCTGAGACTCAAGCAGCTCCTCTAGCCCTGGGCACAACCTGCTGCAACACTGTCTGCACCAGAAGGCTGGACAGCAGGAAGGACAGCAGCCCCTGCAGCCTTCTGCAGCAAGCAGGGCACAGCCTCTGCACTCCCAGCTGCACGTCACAGCCGTCCAGCACAACTAGTGAGACCTATGCCCAGGCCCACCTCTCCCTCTGCAGTGACTCTTCCTCCCATTCTGCTCTCTTTGTTACACATTAGCAACAACCCAGCTGACCTTTTAGGAACAAATCCAATCTATGCACAGCTGTGAGAAGATACCTCACAGCCTCTGCGGTTTTCCAGTCGCACCTGTGGGCAGTAAGCTTTGCTCGCCCTGCTCTTTGTCTGATGCTCTCCAGTTGCTGTCTGCAGTGTCTTGGGGAACATCTGGGAATTACTTCACGTTCTGGGAATGAAAGATCAGATCTGGTCCTGTACAAAACTAATGACTCTCTTGCAGCAGTTTTGCAGATGAGGGAAGCCTCGTGTTTCTGCATCAGAAGAAAAAGCAGCACACTTGGAGCTGCTGTTTGCTCCACTGCAGAGACCAGTGCTGAATGACCTCCCCACGAGAGCTTCTGGGGCAGAGCTGATGCATGCAGTAGGTTCTGGGAAGAGAGCTGCACTGCCTGTGCCTATGGAGGATAACTGATGTCAGATGTGCCTTTGGCTTGAGCGTGCAGTAATACTAAGAGAAGGGCTGTCCTAGGGCTACACCTGGCACCCACAGTCCCTATGGAGCTGGTCAAAGTACTTGCGTCCATCTATCTCGGTTTTCCAGCAGTACACACTGCACAGCGGAAAAGACCTCTACACTCAGAAGGAAAGAAGGAAGGATACATCTCCAAGTGCTACTTACATGGCCATGGAGGTCTGTGTTTAGCAGCATCAGGGCACAGGTGAGTGTATGAACCCCATCTGAAACACACAAAAGTCAGACAGCTATTTTTGATCCTCTTCTTACTTAGTTTCTGTTTGCTCTATCTCAGCAACCCATTCATTCTGAAAACAGAGCTAGTTGCTATGTCTTTGGACTTTAAAGAACACTTATTTCTTTCAACTGCATATGGTAGTTAAAAAAAAATCTGTTTTCCCCTCAGACTTTACTTATTCCTTAAATCATCACCAGTGAACAGGTTTGAAATCAGTTTTGTCAGTGGCTCTCTTAATATCTGACCTTTTGCTGAATCCATCTCCTCTTACTCCATCCCCATTTCAAGCCAACAGCATTGCAGAATGGAGCAGAGACCCTGCTGCTTTAAGCTAGTTTCCCTCCACTGACCACAGTCATCACACTGGTTTCCCCTGAAGTCTTCAGCCACCACTTCTGAGCTCAGCAAAAATGATTACTGCAAATGAGTGCCACATTTTTGGGTCTCTTTTTTTTTTCCTTCCACTTGAGACAGTGCAGCACCCTCTTCTGTACCAGGCAGCCTGGTGACTTGTTATTTCAAAACCATGCTGAGCCCTTCAGCTGCTCCAGGTCAAGAAACCTGTCTGCTTCCACACCACCTCACAACATGCATGGACCACACAAGGGCGTTGGGGTGCTCCTCCCTGGGCACCTTATGCTCAAGGCCAAGCTCCAAACACTGCCAGCTAAAGGCAACCAAACACTCAGGAGCCCAGGATGAAGGCAGCTGAGCACATGAGCTTGTTCCCTTTCTGGGAAGAATTGTGGTGTGTGAGGAATGAAGGGTTTCTTGTGGGAACATCTCACACCTCTGTTCCAGGTCTGACAATCCCAGGGCTGTGCCATCACAGACATTCCCCTTCAAGAGGGAATCTCCTCTTAATAAAGGCACTTCCTCAAATCTACAGAAGCAGTTTCATTCTTGGAACAAAGTGCCTACTTAGAGCATATTCTAGAGCCTCTGTGGAAGATTTTGGGCTGACATCTTCGCTTGGCATCATTGACTTACTGGGGCAGGTAGATCATGCACTCCATGGCCCCAAGGTGGAGCTGGTGTCCCAAAACCTGCTGCTGGGCTCAATCACATCGACATCTTTTTACTAGAATAGTGTCTCAGCACAGATGTATAACTCTTCTGGATCTGGGCTGTATCAGAGTAAGAAGGCACTAATAGTCTGTCCAAGACACAAGTGTCTGGGAGAAAAGCCTACCACCCCCCTCAGTGGTCAGTGGCCTCTTCCACCTCTGTTTTCAGTGTCCTGTCAAGCAGGGCGAAGCGCTTTTGGTGTTGCAGTAGTTGTTCTCCATCAGAGGAAGAGTTACTGAATTAGCACGCAGCAGTGTCCCAAATCGTCTTAGAGGGCTGCAAGGCCTTCACGATGACCACGTCAGTTCTAGACAAGATTGCCTGGGCTTTATCACGCCTCTATGTCCATGGAGTATCACAGCCACAGGTGTTTCTTTAGACGTCTAGGTAACACGTACTGGCTCAGATGTCACTGTGCTGGAACACCCCGTGCCAGTTCATGCTGGACACAACAAGGAAATGCTTTCTGAGGAGAGTGAGCCCTTGCAACCACTGCACATCTAATGCATACTTTTGTAGTGTCCTGCTGAAGGTGTGAACTGTAAGAGCTTTGCTTTCCTCTAGACCTGTCACATACTTATTGTATTGAATTACAAGCGTATTTTTCAAGCCCCGTTCACTTCCAGCACTGAGTGCAGCTTTGTTTTGCTCAGGACTCACTTTCTTTGTATTTGGTCTTCAGGGTGGTACTGCCCAGCCTTGTGACACATGCCACTATCATCATAAGGCACGCTGTAGCCATGAACATTAACAATGTCATGAGAGTGGTGGCAGTCATGTTTCAGTTCCACTTTTCCTTACTCTGAAGAGTTTTGTATTGTTTAGGGTTATAACATTTTCAAATCAGGGCCTACCAGAAGCAGTGACACCTTGACTGAGGGCCATGCAGTTGTTGAGGAGTTCAATCTTCTCAGTTCCTCCTTTTGTTTTTCCTATTAGAAAGTGCTTTTCACACATCGTTACAACTGGGATCTAACTTCTGAACACTTGTCATACTGTGGCTCTGTCACAGCTGCTGACATTGGCAGCTGTTTAAACTTGTGTTGCCACAGCAAAGCTTGCATGCTGTTTGCCTACTCTGCCCTCTCAACGCTCTCCTGTTTATAAGGTATGGGATGGAGCCAGAGATCTGACTGCCTTGTGCTCCAGCTCAGCCTCTGCTCAAGCAGGATTGCACACAGTGGGTGTAAGAAACATGAGGACAAGACGAGGAGGAAGGGTCCCAAGGCCCTTGTCTACAGGTTAGAGATGAATGAGGTAGAGTTGAGGATCACATTTGGGAGAGCTGATGAAGAGACGTCAAGATTGTCCTACAGCTAAACGTCTACAGGTGGAGAACCCCTTCCAGGGAAGGTCTTCTTGGGATCAGTATGAGAGAACATCACATGCACATGTAAAGCAAACCTAGGGAAATGAAATAAACCTAGACGTCATCCAGCTAAACTTATACTTTACTCAGCTACCGCAGACAAAAGCAAAGAGGTCATTCTGCTTCAGAGAAGTTTGTGGCAGAATAACTCCAGGGTTTATGTGACACTGGGCAGGGCTACTCCTTGGCAAGGCAGCTCTCAGGCCCAACTGCCACATTCTAAGCTGAAGAGGGTGGAGAAGGAACAGCCAGCAGTTCTGTGATGCTGGCTGAGAGCAGGTCAGCAGCCTGATTTCCACCCATGCCTGGATGCAGGCACTACAGAGGCCTGTAAGCAGGTGTGTAGAGATACTCATGCAAATATGACCTTGGGCATGCTCATGTGGAAGGGACCTTGAAGATCACTGAGCTCCAATCTCCCTTGCGTGGGCTGGCCGCCCCCCATCAGCTCAGGCTGTCCAGGGTCCCATCCAACCTGGCCTTGAACGCCTCCAGGGATGGGGCATCTACAACATCTCTGGGCAGCAGTGCCAGTGCCTCACTGCCCTCTGAGTAAATAATTTTTTTCCTGATATCCACCCCAAATTTCCTCTCTTTTAGTTTAAAGCCATTCCCCCCCTTGTCCTATCACTGTCAGACTGTGTAAAAGTCGGTCCCAGGAAAGCAGTACCTTCAGAGGTGCTCTCCTCTGGGTTGCACTGGCAGTATCGCCGGGAGAAGTGAATCAGCACACGCTCCCGCTCCTGCGTTTCTCCCATCAGTGGGAATGCTTTCAAGAATGTCCTGCAAAGAGAAAGTGATACTTAAGATGTCATGGATCAATCTGCTGGAAAGCATCCACTACAGGGAAAGATAGGAAGGGGGTCCGCATAGCAGCTAGAGAAGCCTCTGTCCTCTCCACAGCCCGCGCCCAGGGGCCCTGCAGGTACAGGTCTTGAGGCTGGTCCTGAGCTGTGCAGGGAAACATACTGCCAGCTGAGGTAGGGCGTACCAGGCTCACTGGCATCAGGATGGGTCATCCATCCTAAGGGCAGAAGTTGCTCTCACTTGCTCTGAGTTTGTGCAGAATAGGATTCCCAGGAAAGCTGCTCTCCACCGTGGGGAAGCAGGCTGTGGGTGTTCTTAGCAAAGCTCGCTTTTGGTGGCAGTACGTTGTGCCAAATGTGACACCAAAGCAAAAATTAAATTATAACCTGTCCCTCTCCTGTCCATGGACAGTCTCTGTGCAGTCAGGAGGCCCAGAGAAACCCACCTGCTCTGCCCCCTCCAGCCCAGACATACGTGGGGGTGCCGAGAGCCCAGCTCACCTGAGTGCTTTGTCGAGGGTCAAGCCAGTGAAGTCAAAGAAGCTGAGGTACTCCTCTGCTACCAACTTGCTAAATTCATTACTGTAATTAAAGAGGGAGTCATCAGCCTTTTCATCAGAGAAGGAGACACTGTCTAGTCCTACTGCAGTACTCCCATTCTCCACCCCAGGCTGGCTCTCCTCTCACCCTCTCACCACAGCACCTCACACTGTGTCTTTCTGCAATCATACTCTCAGACACCACCTGCCAGATGGATGCCAGCTCCTGGGGTGCTGGATCAGTCAGGGTGCAGGAGTGCTCAGCTGAGATTCTGGCCCCACTCTCCCCTGAGTAGTTTGCCAGGGCTGTAGGAGAACACGTGGAGGTTTTGAAGGATGCTTGGGGACTTCGTGCCTTTAAAGCCAGAATGGGTGGTGTTAAGTTCCTCTATCTGCACAGCTCAGATAGCAAATCTGCAAGTATGATGAATGACTGTTGGCAAGAACATGGAGATGATCTCAATATGATCAGCCTTGCTCATATGTAATTCATTCTCCTTCTCCCACAAAATGAAAAGCATACTAAGTGTTGCACATCCAGCCTCACTTCAGGACCATCTACAGGCTGAGCTCAGAGCTCACACTGCCTTTCCAACAGCACTGTTTTATCTTCCACTGTGAGGCAGATGCTGCAAAGCTTCGGGTGGATGCTGTTTGGAAGCACAGCACATAGTGGAGTAACTTCTTCACTTGTCCTTCAGCTTCAAAGCAGGATGATGTGAGAAGCCAAAGATGATCATGTCTGTGATGGAGATGTCAACACATCTTCACCCCTCTGTCAAAGAAACAGCAGAAACGAAGGAAGCCCCAGGCTGCCCTCTGGAATGCTCTTGGCTCTAAGTCTGCAGAAGACCTCATGTGTTGGCTGTACAAGTGCTGGGAAACAGCCACTGTTGTCCCTTCCACAGGTCAAGCCCCACCTCACAAATGTAACCATGGAAAAAAAGCTCCAATTCCTCCAGCCTAGGCAACTCTGCCAGATCTGCTGGGAATCTGGTTGGGCATTCTGGGCACTGCACACACAGAATCACAGAATGGCCAGGGTTTGAAGGGACCTCAAGGCTGAACAAGCCCAGCTCCCCCAGCCTGTCTTTGTAGGGGAGGTGCTCCATCCCCCTGTTCATCTTTGTGGCTCCTCTGGACTCTCTCCAACAGCTCCCTGTCTTTCTTGTACTGGGGGCTCCAGACCTGGTCACAGTACTCCAGATGGGGCCTCACAAGAGGAGAGTAGAGAGGGACAATCACCTCTCTGTCCCTGCTGGCCAAACCCCTCTTCTCATGGAGCCCAGGATACCATTTGCTTTCCGAATGCAAGGGCACACACCAAGGACAGCCATGCACTTCATCACAGGAATAATCAACAGGGGAGAACAAAACATCTGATTGATCCCACTTAACCTCAAGCTGGACTTGAAGAGCTGGCCTTGTCCAAGGCTCCCTAAAACCAAAACAAAGCAGCAAGCTATAGTCTAGCCCAAATCTCAGGTGGACTGAGTTGCTCTTGAGGTGTCTCCATAGCCTACACTGGGGCTATATCCTAACTCAGATTCTTAACTGGGCCTACAGCCATGCAGAATGAAGGAGGTGGGAGATCCCTTTCACCACCCTTTCCCTCCAGGCTCACCGCCCATCCTTCAGCTCACTGAGTCTTTCTGGTGGTGACTCACGAGCCAGGATTCAGACAGAATGGTGAGCAGTGGTCGACACTAGCTTCTGTTGAGACTGCATCTCCCCAGCCCGTCGTGTCTTCCTATGTGCCTCCCCAGATCCCTCCCAGCTTGGAGTAGTGGGAGGCAGACTCAGCTGCCAAAATACATGCTCTTCAGGGACTGAGACATTTAGGGTTAACATCACATAATGCTGTCAGCTGGAAAGAAACTATTTGGTGATATCCAACCTCTGCTTCCTTGTCATCAAGTTTTTCATACTTGCTTGACAATGATGAACATATTGGGATTTTTAAGAAAACTACCAGTATTTACAAAAAATTTAATAATAATAATAATAATAATAGAAGTAGAATGAGCTGAAAAGTCTAAAAATGAGATTTTTACTTTTCAAACAACCATCCTTGTTGGCCCACCTCCTACATACAGCTTCTCTGAATGCATCACTTAAATGTACTCTATTCCCACAAATGCAGGCTGGTTTTACATGAGAAAGACGAGCCTAAAATACACCTAGCTCCAACCTCCTTCATTTCCTGCTCTGCAAATCCACGTGCCTGGTCCAGGAGCCTGCAGCTCTATCCAGGTCTTGTGCTGGGAAGTGTTCCAGCTTTCTAAAATTCAGCTGATCAAAACCAAAATTGCTTTTTTTTAATGGATGTGTCAAGTCCCAGCTGTGGGTCACCGAACAGCTCCTGCAGTGTGGGGATGGCAGGAACCAGCAACAGGGCGCACTCAGATGCACCCCCATGCTAAAAGTTCATTGCCTGGAAGCTCCCCACTCCGCCAGCTGGCATAGAAGATTTGCAGGAAAGAAGGATGCTAGGCTTGAGGCAGCAGCAACCAGAATTGCATCTGTCACAAGAACCAAGAGAGAAGAACAAGCATGCTGTCAAGAGATACAAAAAGCTGCTACAGAAGATCACTAAGGAGCTCCTTCCTTCCTCCCCAGGACAAAGTTGAATCGTGGACCATCCTTGCTAATGGAAGCCTGGGTGTTTGCTGAGGGACAGCTGTGTCTTGCTAGTCAGGATGGCAGTGAGCCACTTGAAGGACATACAAAAAACAAGCAGTGTTATACACGACCCGGGAGAAATATACGGGCAGTTGGTGTCCTCGCACCCACTGGCACCCTAAAGTCATGCTACTGCTGTGCTTGTTGCTTTGTTACTGTTTCTCTCTCTTTTACAAATCACTGTCTCTCTCCACTTTTGAATAAACACTTTCACTTCCCTTCTGCCTTATCCTGGCAAACCCCCCAGCTGAGGTAACTTGGACATGCAGTGCGTATCTCACTCTCCATCCAACTCTCGCGGGCTCACACCGCCTCACCCTCCCCACCACAGATGCTTTTCTCATGGCCATGCTCAGTGCTGCCTTGGCCTGCTGCTTGGCCAGGCTGGCTCTACACTCACACTCACAAAGACCACTTACTTTTTCCCGAGCTGCCGTGCCACATCACAGCGCTTGAACCCTTCGAGGTTGTAGAGGCGCTTGGCCAACCTCTTTGCAGCCTCACTGTCTGCCCTGCAGCCGTTTGCCAAGGTGTCTGTGCTTCCCTGGTCAAGCTGCTCCGTGCTGCCCATGTCAGAGTCAGAGTCAGAGAGTGCATCTTTCAAGCTGGCATCACTACACAGAAACAAGAAACAATTCAAGGAGCAGCAGTGTGACTTGGAGGAACCTGAAGAAAATACCACATTTTGATTTCTTCTTGTCCTAACCAAAAAATACCAAAAACACATTTGTGAACTGGACGTTGGGCAAACCCTATTTCATTTCAGGTCAAAAATGCATTTTGATGCATTCCTAAAAGTTTAATTTCAAACTAGTAGGAAAAAGATGGAAATTATTTCTTGCTAAGAAATGAGGATATACTCATTCAAAGCAAAGAGACTCAACCCTTTTTTAAGGTTCCACTGCCCACATGGTATGAAAAGCTGTCCTGAATGGATACGAAGGTGCCAGAACATATACCCTTCTGGTCTGTGTTGTAGGGATACCAACCTCTTTTGGAGCTGCTGACATTCAGGAAACCCTTTGCTATAGCTGATACACTTTTAGGTTCAGATTATTTGCTGAGGGTGAGAAAGTGCACTTGAACTTGTGCAAAGTGCTGTGGCTGGGCCCCCAGGGCATCATGCCAAGGGGACTGGCATCAGACCTGATGTCACTGTCCAGCTGCTGCCCCCAGATGGCACAACGGCCAGCCGTTCTCACAGATGACACCCTATGTGTTCCAGTGGCACCAGGCAGGTGGGGCTGCATCCCTTTGTTTTCATGCCAGGCCATGTCATTTCAGGCCAGTTCTGACACCTATTCACACATTTTTGGGCACTGTGACTCACAGAAGACCAATAATTAGCCGGACATAATCCCATGTTCTGGCTCTTTCCTTGCCTGGCTGCCCACCTCCTGGCTCCCACACACAGAACTGCAGTACAGCCCCTGCTGCATCCTGGGGACGATGGCTTGGAGCTGGCCCAGCAGGTGACATCTCCACTGATGTCCTCACTGCCTGCCAAGAACTACTGGGGAAGCCTCTACAAAGGCGCCTAAGTGAAACCTTGAGGCTCACCCTGCTTTTCAGAGCACATCTGCAAGTGTGCCGGGCTGACTGCTACCTGCCATGGACTTTGGTAGATGTCAGGCAGACAAGGCAGTGGTCTTCCTACAACAGTGCTGGCCTGCTGTAAGAGCAGGTGGGATTTGTGTGCAAGCAAATCAATGCTGGTGCCCTCCAGAGCAAATGTGTGTACAAAGTGCTTGAGCCTTGGCTTTTCTTGGGCTCACAGTGCTCCTACAGGACCCAGCAGATCATGTTCGTCCTTGGGCCCTGTGTTCGAGAGCAGGAAAGGCAGACACAGATCTGCTGGGGAATGGCTGATCTAGTGCCATGTGGTCTTGGCTGTGTTCTCAGCCTTTGAATAAGAAAGTTTGTCCTGTGGTTTCTCTCTCTGCCATGACAACACGTGAGAGCAAGCACAAGAGGAAAAAAAGCATCTACACCCATTATGTCCTATAAGCCTTGCTTCTGGGCTGGGACCCCATAAGACAAATGCCCCTTTACCCCAGGAATTCACAGCCTGCCCTACCTGATGGAGTTAATGATCTTGGCGGCGTCTTCCTCTGAACCTTCCACATGGAACCCATTTGGGATATTTTTCAAGGACAACCGGCTCAGCACATTCTCTGACCTGCTGCTGGTAATTGAGTGCCTGAGAGGGCTCCCAAAATCCCCCTCTGCTGGCTTTGCTGCTGCCTGCTCTTGCTTATCAGCAGCCATGTGCTGAAGGGATTCTCTCTGCTGGGCCACCAGTTTCTGCTCCAAGAGCTCTGGGCTTTCCTTGACCCGCTGCTGGATCAATGGGGTGAGTGGCGCCTCAAAACTGACACAGCTGTCTGTCTCATCTGTAAGAGAGAGGACATCCAGAGAGTCCAAGCTGCTGTAGTACGTGCCCTTCATAAGGTCAGACTCAACAATCTTCTCAAAGGTCGAGCTGAACCCATCCCTGATGTCTTTGAATTGAAAATGTTCCTTGTCGTCCTCACTGCAGCTCAGCTTGGCATCTTCAGCAGCAAACCTGGACAAGAAGGGGAGATGCAGAAAAAGTGGTCAAGGAATTGCTTGTACTGTTCAACTTGGAGTTAGGGGGCAGGAGAAGAGGTAGGAATGGATGTTGCAATCATAGGTCCCTGGGAGTTCTCAGTGGTATAACCTAATTGCTTCCCAGTTTTATTATAAGCTACAGAGCTGAAGAAGACAGAGCTTTGCAATGAGCCCCTCAGGGACCCAGTTATTTATGGTTGTGCCCCAGCAAAAAGCCAGAGCTCTGAACTGGAAACATTGGTGCCTCACACTTGCAGCTGGACCAATTGCCAGAATTGAATTAATGTAAGGGTTCTCTCTCTCTTCAAGTGCTCCGATTCTGGCAGCATCAAAAACACAGAAGACATTAAAGATTGAGATCAATTCATATAACTGCATGTTGGCAGCAAATGTCCCTTTGTAGCAGAAAAAAACCAGAAACCATTAGGGAGCAATTCATACGCTCTATCTTCAGCCTTTTGTCTTAGACAAGATACCCTAGAAGAGCAGGGCACCCTGCACTGAGAGGGACATCCACGGGGATGGAGCCCAGGCAGGGGAGGCTCTGTGCTGCTTTACAGACAGCTGTGGCATGAAGGCACAACATTAGCAGTGTGACAGAGGCTGCAAAATGCACCAACCCGCAAGGTTAGCTTCTGGGTAAGCAACTGCCAGCTATTCTAGCTTTCGATGCAGGGACATCAGTTCCAGGGCACATCCCAATGCACTCACACAGGGAGAATTCAGCTGGGCCAAACACCTGCTGGGAGCCCTGAGGAGATGGGAGGGCTCAGTCCGTCCTGGAACAGCCTGAATCAGCAGGCCAGCAAACAGGCTGGAGCTGGTAAGGGACTGGGAGAGGACACAGTGTGGGCAGCCAGCCCCAATGGTCCAAAGGGGTATTCTATGGCATACAAACCCATGCTCAGCAAAAGCCTTGTGGGGGTGGTCTCTGAAAGTCACTACTGCTTAGAGACTGGCTGGGCATTGATCTGTTTTTGATCTGATTGCTTTTGTATCACTTTTTTTTTTTTCTCCCAGCAGTCTGGACACTTCTGAATGCACTTTACAAAACAGCTCAATCTTTCTAGGCAGGGAAACTAAGCCACACACCATATGGAATTGCTTGTAGCAAAAATAAGGACAGGTAGGGGAACAGAGCCCTATCTCAGCAGCAGAAATCAGAGAACAGGGAAAGCAAATGTCTGCCGCCACAGCCAGCCCCATTTCTCCAGTTCCAGCTGCAGCAGCTTAAGGATGCCCTGATCTAGAAGCATGCAGGCCGTTTTGTCCAACAGACACAGGCTCCCTGCTTTCAAGGCGGGGATGTACCCCTGGACATCACTGCCATGCTTGGCAGATGCTTACTGGAGCCCTGAAGCCCTCCAGCTCTGCTTATACCATTTCAGTCTCAGGCGCGTACTTCTCCCAGGGCAGAAAGAATTTGTCTGTATTTCTATGCAGAGCTAAGCAAGCAGCAAAGAAGGAAGGCTGCTTCTTGAGCAAAGAGCAGGTCAATGAGCAGCAAGGAAAGAATCTGGTCTTCCTTTTCCCCATGCTGGAAAACACACTGCAATCAAAGCAATTGCAATCGTTTCCAATTTGTTGATTTTTTCTCTCCTTCTAAATGTCACCAGGATCTACTCACCAGATGAGATCTTCAGCTCAGCTGAGACCCTTTCAGATGGAACAAATCCAGCTACCAGCTCAGAGTGGCTGAAGGTGGGAGGGGCAGCCTGGTCCCCTCCGCTGTGGCCATACCCAGACACCTTGGGAAGGATTTCCCCCAAGGAACCGGTTTGTACCCAAAACCTGCTGCTGCCTCCGCTCAAGATATCCTTCACTTCCGCTCATTTATCATTTGACCACATAGGGGAGCAGTAAAGCATTTACAGAAAGGCCAAGACAATCCGTTTTTATACCTTTCAAAGCAGAAAAACCCTCAGTACAGTGTAAAAATCATTTTTTTGTCAAGCATTTTCTGTCAAAGCAAGGTCAACCACCAGAATGACTGGGAATGGAAGGAGCCTTCTCAGCTGATATTTTCTTCTTTATTCAGGATTCAGAAACCTCACTCAATTTCACTGCTCCTTCTGCGATCACATTACTGACTCTGGCCCACAAAAACAGTGTCTCCAAATGCAGACACTGCCCATTTCAGCAAGATCCTCTCCCTCACTATGTTCAGGGCATGGCTGGAAGGCCTGGCAGGCAGCTGGGAGAGAGGCAGCACTGCAGAGGATACCCACATGCCTGGACCTCAGGACCCTGAGCAAGCCGGAAATGAAGAGGACCATATAGTGTCCTCCCCTGAAATTCACAGCACTGCACCCCTCACCATGTGGCTGGACAAGGCTGATTCAGAAAAGATGCAGCAAACACAGAAACATATGCTATATCCACAGTGTTACAAAGCAAGCCAATGGGAAAATCATGATGTTTTTTTCTGACCTTGCAATCAACAGGCGAGTGCAGCACAGCCCTGAGTTTACTGGTCCGGAGATACCATCACAGTGTTGTCACTTCTGGGAAAGCTTGGCTCTGCAGTGCCTCGGGCAGGGTGGAAGATCATTGCAGGACTTTGTGGCCTCATGACCTCGTCACCAAGGGGAACACACCTTTTTGGGCACTACTGCTGTCATTTCTGAAGAGCAGCTGGTTCTGGGCAGCAGGGGGTACCCCATGCTGAGAGGTGATGCTCATGTGGATCAATCTCCAACATCCTGATCAGCACGGGCAGCGAGAGCTCAGCACTTAACACAAGCACTAATTCCAGGCAGTACAATGGGACCTGGCATCCCTCCACATGGAGAAGTCCTTAAGGTCATCCCCCTTGTTTGCTACAGCCAGTGCACTTACAGATTCAGACATGCAATGCAAGACAGCAGGAACTTTGCTAAAGGTGATCTCCTCACCCCTAGAACCAAACACAGCGTGAGAGGGTGGACAATGAGCAGAGAACCAGTGCAAGGAGGGAAGACTGCAGTGACAGAGTTGCACATTCCCCTGCTGTGACAGCAAGGTGTGAGAACAAGTCAGCTTCCAGACTTCTCTCCTGCCATCTGCAAGAAAACTGCACGCTGGGGAAGGATCTGAACAAGGGGACAGCATCCTGCTTTTAACGTGCCAGAGATGTCAGAGAGGGGAGGACAAGTCAGCACTGTCACGTTTCTTACTTCTCAGTGTCCCGAGAGCCTGAGGAACCCAAGCAGGTGCTGTGAAGTGGCCACTCCATGCTGCCTTCCCATCCCCATGCTGCTGGGTGCCCACTCTGCTGCCTGGTGAGCTGTGGCAGGAACTGGCAGTACCTGCAAAGCAGGAGGCAGGGCAGAGCCACCTGAAGGGCACTGCGAGGAGGGACACAGCCGTGCACAGCTCACACTCCACACTCAAGAGCTGTCAGGCTTAGACTAACAGGTTCTCACATCCTCTGACAAGTCCTCTCTGCAGTCTGTGCTGTTAGAGCTGCTGTTTGCAAACTGAACTCTGGAGCTGCAACAGCTGAAAGCTGACATGAATTGTACCTTTAGATAACATCCTACTTCCAGGAGCTCAGGGCCACACAGACCACCAGAGCTGGCCACACAGCAAGCCAGATGGCAGCTGCAGCTCCAGGTCTCCTCATCCTCAGCTCTGCTTATCTTCCCAGATCCATCCATGTTGGCAAGGCGTGTGTGCAGAATAAGCTTTTTCCCTCCACGAACCAGGAGAAACTTTTAAAACTCCACCTCTCTGCAACACGGAGGATTTTACAGCCTTAATTGCACCCTATGGACGAGTCCCATTGCCCAAGCCCTTGTAACAGCGCCCGCATATTTTCCAGCCCTGCGTTTATTCCCTGAGCCCAAATTCCTACAGCAGCACCAAGTCCGGAGTTCTTTGTTCCTAGAAATGCCTCACTGAAGGCTGCGTGCGGGAGAGGGCAGAGAGCAGGGCAGAGGCTGCAAAAGGGACAGCTCAGCAGATGCTGACAAGCGTCCAGCACCCACAGCCACAAGCCCATCACATCCCTCCCTGCATGGTCCCAGGGAAGACCCTCCCCAGAGGAGGGCAAGCAAGCTTCCTACAGCTTAGAGCAGCCCAAGGGCAGCCACCTGCATCTGATTCAACCACGCTGGACTGGGAGGGAGATGAGGTAAGACCTTGCTTGCGAGTGAGCACAGCGCAGCCTCCCCACAGGGAAGTGTTGTGCACTTAAGTATTACACAGCGGGGAAGGCAATTGCTTTACTTAACTAAGGAGCCATATATTTATTTGCATTGTAATCACAAGCTTCTGTGTATTGAAGTAGCACTGTATCTAATTGCCTGTGCTGCTTTCCTCAGTCATCTCTGAAATGCTGTTTTATTGCTTATGGCAAGGCATGCCGAGCTATGCATTCAGTTATTACTGCCGCTGCACCGCACTGGATTTTTATGCACTGAGTTGTTTATATTTCACTTCGCACTGGTTAATTAGTTGTAATAAAGTAGAACCTCGTTTGCTGTGTTGGTGGAGCCATCAGAGAAAGACGTGCTGGCAGCCAGGACTTCCCTGCCTATGCACTGTGCCTTTCTGCAAAGTTTTCTAAAACTTTGTTTAATGGAAAGTGAAATGCACAATGGCTGTACGTTGCCATGGGAAAAAGCGCGTGTGCAAAAGCAGTCCCAAGCCTGCAGGCACCGAGCACGTATCACAAGCCAAAGGTGGGGATTCCTATATTTACCAGCCTGACATCTTAATGGGGCTGAAAGCAGAGAATGTCATTCGCCAGTAAAGCTCTCTGACTGCAGAGATGCAACTTTCTGAGATCAGCAGGGCCTGTGCTGGGGGCTGAAGGGAAGGTGGCAGACTTCTAGCCAAACATCCACGAGGAGTGGAACAGGGCTTTGACAGTGTGCTGGCATGCCAATGGGACAGAAGAAAGAGGGGCCAAAGGGATTCAGCCAGTGCAAACTGCAGCACAAGCACAAAAGCTTTGTCTTTATTTCCTTGAACAGGAAAATGGAAAAACAGAGGATGACTATGAATTCTCCAGTGCCTTGGTCCCTCTGTCAGCTTTGTGACTCATGACCCACGCTCACTGAGCAACACAAGTGTAGCTGGCAGCTCCCTATGGCACAGAAGGGCCGTGCTGGTTTTCGCCTCACCACCCAGTGGGTAGGTGGTCAAAGCACCACCTTTGAATGCACTCAGCTAACCTGATTGCTGGACAACACAGTTTCCCAGATTTCAGTTGCATCCCTGAAGTTTTCCATCTGCACTTTTGCTTTCAAGTATATACAGTATATGACTTGTCACCTGAGCGTTCAGCTTCCCAGAATACTTATTTACTATCCAAGTCCTTATGTTCAGAGCACAAGATCACGGTCAGTTCATGCAGAGTGCAGTCAGGCTGCACTGGCTCCAAATGCTCAGCCTGCCACTTCTCCCAGTTCATGCCCCTGTACCTTAAAGTAATTGCACTTCCAGTAATTGCACCAGCATTTACTGACCACTCATAGCTTCCTTCTGATTTCACTGTCTGCTGGGGAGCCACAGATCAAGCAGCATTCCCTCACAGCACAGTGACTTGCAGACATCCAAGAGCTGACAGAGTAGCTCACAGGACTTGTGGAACAGGTGCAGAGGTAGGCTCCCTGGGCTCTCCAGACATCAGCAGATAGAAGCAGTCTGCCTTGGACACCTATTCCTCTTTAATTCCTTCAGTTGTGACTGAAATAGTTGCTGCTTCTTGCTGGCGCTGTTGGTAACGCAAACCACCAGTTTGCTGCTGGGGAGCCTGCTAACTGCTACAGATGCAACGAATTAAGGATGCCTGCCGTCAGCCCACATGCTGTGCAGCTTCCCAGCACCACTAACACTCTTGGCCATGCTCCAGACAGTGCTCTGAGCCAGTGGCTCAGCCTGAAGCTTGCACGGTCAGGAGGTGATTCAAATGCCCCTTTGCCATCTTGTCCCTGTTACACCTTCTCCTCTTAGAACGCCATTCTCCTCTGCTCTTCTCCAGCCCTGTCATGCTTGTGGCATCTCTTCCATTTTGAGGTAGAAGATATGTGCAGGCAAAGCCATAACATTCACACTGACCATCAACCCTGGGCAGCTACAATACAACTCCCTGGGTGATTTGTGATCTATGTTCCTCTTGCAGGAATGCCATGGGAAGCAGCCCACCTCAATCCAGTGACCACCGCGCAGACTGCAGGGCCCTGTGCAGTCATAGGCACTTGCAGGGTCACCTCAGTGAGGGTGAGTCCCTGCTCAGTGTCCCCCAGCCTGGAAAGCTGTCCCATGAAATTGTGCTGCCAGCAGGGAGGACACAGGTGGGGGCATCCTGTGGTTTGTCTCAGGCAATTGAGAACAAGATGACAGGCACGTGTCTGAGCTGCTGAGCTGCCACCCATCCAGCTGCAGAGTACAGGGTCTGGGAGGGGACTACCTGCCCTGGACCTTCAGGCATGCAAATTTGGAGCATGCCTGTAAAAAGGCCGGCGTAGGCTCTTCTACACCTAGCCTCATGCACTGGTGAAGGCTACCTGAACTAGGAGGACCTAAACCACAGGAGGAGTGTAGAGCTGGGACAGCAGCAGGACACGGTCCCTGCTGCGATGGTGGGGTCCTGCCTGGCTGACAGGCTCTGGGGGCTCTTCAAGAGGTCCTCTCCTCCACCTGGCCATCGCCACCCAGCAGCAATGAGCATGCTGTGTGCTAGTGGCCACATCTCCTAAACCTGCTGCAGTGACTCTGAGCACACACACAGCTGCTGTGGGGCAACACTAAGGTGCACCTGAGCTGAGGCATGGGAGCCCCCAGCTTCACCACATCACCCCACTACACAGCACTTCCCACCGTCCTGCTCACCTCCCAGCATCCTAAATCACACTCATCCCTGATGCAGCAGCACATCCACCCCTTGCTACATACACAAAGCAGAAACTGAGTTATCCTTGTGCCACCCAGGCACTGGCAGCACCAGCCACAAGAGCAGTGGGAACCAAAGCTCAGTGCCCTGCTCTCCCTTACTAATGATGTGCTCCTCTGGATGCAAAGCTGCATCCTGCTGGCCATGGATTGCCAGAGCCAGCCATGCTGCCAGGGACTCCCAGGACACCCCAGGCTTCCCATGGCTGCCGTGCCCGCCCTGCCCACTACTTCAGCTATCTCAGCAAACTGCCTGTAGTGCTGCAGCCGCAGCTCAAGTCACAAGTGGGACACTCCCAAAAGTCATCCCTCTCCCTAAGAAGTCCCTAAGCCTTTTCCTTAGCACATCTGAGCCAGACACTGGCTCTAATCACAGACTTTCCACATTTGCGATAGGGAAAGAAGCCCAGAGCAAGAGAGCAAAAAGACAGTCAGCCACGAGAGCAGCTGCAGCTTTTAAAAGTGATGAGTTACACAGGGAGAAGTGGAACTCAGACCGAGGGCTGGGAAACGGCACACGTAAGCCATCACCCAGCCAGCGCTGCGGCAGCTTCGCACTCACCCGAGCGGCTCCTCCGGCTCATCAGCGCTCAGCGCTCCCGAGGAGCCCAGGAAGCCGTGCAGGAGCACCTTGCCGAGGGCCCGGCTCCGTGCCTGCGGCCCAGGGGAGCTCTCCTCCCCAGAATCCACGCTGCCGGGGCTGGGCACGCCGCCGTCCCGCGGCCGCAGCCTCGCCGCCTCGCCGCCCTCGCCGAGCTCCGCGCCCACGCCGTTGGTCAGCGCGGGCTCCTCGCGGCCCCGGCCGTTACTCGTGGCGCGCGCCTCCCGTTCCCGCTCGCCCGTCGAGGCCGCCAGACGTCGGTCCCCGCGGCGCTCCTCATCGGCCGCTGGGCTGGGCTCGGCGTCACCCGGGGGGCCGGCTCTCCCGCTGGCAGGCTCTGCAGGCTCGCCGAGCTGCTCGTCCCCATCGCTGCGGGCTCGCACGGCGGGCTGCGAGCCTGAGGAATGCAGCTCGCTGCGGGCTGCCACAGACGACGGAAAGCGCCTGCTCTCGCTCATATTCCGCTCGTCCTCCCGGCGCTTGCGGGCTCCCTCCCCGCGGTCAGCTCAGGCGCGGCACTACCTACAACAGAAGAGACCCCACGTCACCGGAGCCCCGAGGATCGAACAGCGCCGGTTTGCCCACGGCAGCTCAACGGGATGACAGCCGATGCCACAGCTGTGGTGGCAGGAGCGGGGGGGGAAAAACGTGCGTCCTCCAGGAGAAAAGCAGAGAGGGTTCATATCTGGATTTGCTGCTTGTAAGGATGAGTGCTTGTCACCCAGCACTGAGAATGGAGAAGAAAATCTGCCCTCGGGTTCCACCAAGGATCCAGGCATCCCCTCCTCTCTGCCCCCAGAGCTCCACACACCCAGCCCTAAACACAGGCTGGGGACAGAAATGCAGCCCCACTACTCTCTAATGCTGGTCACAGGAGCGCTGCTCCCCAGCACTGCCTGCCCCCTGAAAGTTGGGCCTGTGATGGCACTGGGGAAACAGGAGACAGGTGTGGGTTTGGTTTTTTACGTTTTTGGTTTTTTTTGTTAACACTTTTAAGCAGCTGTGATCTGCCAACCTGTGTGATTCTCCCTGCTGACTCACATCTCTAAGCAGCTTCTTTCCTTCCGGAGTAACACCTTTCCTGGTATACAAGTACTGCTGAAGTATTTACCAGCTAAAGCTCTGGCAAAAGTGTCCCTGCTGAGTATGCTATGAGGTGCTCTCTTTAGGGCAAGGGAAGGACACTACACTGCACCACAAGTGGCTTCTCGATAAAAAGGGACCTTATTGGCAAACATGCCCATTGATGCAAAGTCTTGCTAGCAGCATCCTGAGCCATGGGCAGCAGCCCTACACTGCTGTGCAAGCACTGTGAGCCCTTCAGCTGAAATCCAGTGATTGCAGTGCCAGCAGAAATTCTCTCTTCTGGAAGCCAGTGTTTCTGTATGACATTTGGGCTGAGGTACAACAGCCAAATTAAAACAGGGTGATTTAAAACTGTGTCTGCCTTCACCCGGGAAGGGAGCATACCCAACTGGTTACAGCAAGCAGATGGGAATCCTGGCTTCTTCCCTTGGTTCTGGTCCTACCTCATGTCACAGGCAGATCTTAACTCCCTGCCTCAGCTTCTCTGCAAACTACAGATAACAGCACCTCTGAGAAGCTGTGAGGGTGCCCAGACTTTGGGAATGGGCTCTGCATGCTCTGACTTGCTAAGCTGAGGCTCTCGTTAGCAATGCTTGCTTAATGCAGGGCCCTACTAGTTCTTGGTACCGAGATGTGCCTCTGCTCTCACTACCCCTCTACAGGTCAGTGGTCCATCCTCTGCCATTGGTTCCTGTATGCATGGGAAAGGAGCAAGGGAGAGGAGAGGCGTGGGTGTAGACTTGCTGGGAGAACTGTGCGGATATGTGCTGAGCTAAGTGGGACAGATCCCACTGGGAACACTAACCCCTTCTGACTGTGCCTAGGGCAAAGCCCAGCTGAGATGGAGTACCCAGGTCCTCCCTTTGTCCAGTTCACTGCTGTTGATGAGGTGGATTGAGGAGGTCAGAGTCTTTTGTGGAGTCGGTCTGGGGAGAAATGCTCCTCCAGTTGCTCATCCCGCAGATGTGGGATGAGGCAGATGCCATGCAGGCAGGTTTACCTCTTCTCCGTGTGCATCCGTGTGCATCCCCCGCTGTCACAGAGCTCGCAGCATCCCCACACTAGGTGCAGCCAGGCACCTGGACAGATGCACGATCCTGCAAGCAATAACAGACCAAAGAGCGTGAAACACAGAGAGGAGAACCCCATCAACCTGCTGCACTGCTGTTGCTCCATGCCAGGCAGCTTACCAGCCCCATCCCACGTCTGAGCTGCCCATTCTTTGCTAAGCACTGCTAATGCTCCTCCCTCTGCACACATTGGTCCTCCCTGGCTTTCAGCTGTAGCAGTGCAGCAGCTGAATACAGCAGGGAGGCCTTCTCAATTCTTTCCTTCTCCAGCCTTCCTTCCTGCACACTGGCAGCAGAACCAAGCCAATGCAATGTCTTCCAGCAATTTACCTGCGCAACTATTAAGAGTCTCGTGAACATGACTGCACTGTAATTTGGAGTAATGCTGAAAAAATAACATGAGCTGAATGTTGACACTCTCCCATAGGGAAGGCGTAATACTAAACACAGAGTCAATATTCAGATCTTTGGAGAAACCTTTCTAGGAAAGCTCTGCTGGTCTTTTTCTTGACGTGAGCTGAATAATGTAGTCTTAAGTCTGCATTTTTAAAACCAGCCAAGGAGTTCGGGCTGGAATTTCCCATCTCCCTTCTCTCACTGCGGTAACTTCAGCAGGAACCTAGATACCACCCAAGCGAAATTCCAGTCCAGTAACGAAAGCTTGGCACAGCTATAAGCAACCAGAAAACAGGAAACTAAATGTGGTTAGGAGACAGTGCTAAGAAGAAATATTGGCAATCCTTAGTAAATGCGAAGTCTCATTTTTTCCTCCTAACTTTAATTCAATTCTTAATGTCAATAAATCAATATTCCTGTTATTATGCATAAGCTACTGCATTAAGCTTACTATGCTTTGCCCTCTGTGAGGTCTAAGTGGGACATTTATGCTCTGGAAGAAGGGCTGAGCAGTCAGCAGTTAAATTCCAAGGCGTGCTCTTCCTTGGCACTGGGGAAGCCAGGGGAGGATGTGCTCAGCCAGGAAGGCATCAGCTCCAAGCTCCCAGCACACTGGTCTGAACGAAGCCAGCAGTCTCCTCTGAGATGTGAACCCAAATGCTGTGGCACACACAAGTGGATGGAGGCTGTCCTGTGCAGCTGAGCTTCTTCAGCAAGCTGAATGTGTATCAACTCAGGACAGATTACTCAGCAACTCGCTAGCTACTAGATCTATACTCATGGTGACAGTTCCTTGACGCATGCCCAGAAGCCCCAGAGAACAGCTGGGATGTAATGAGTTACCCAGCTGCCTCGTACCAAATACAAGCAGTATCTGGTCAAGCTCTGTGCGGGAGGGGCTGGAAGGTGACATCTGAGTTCCCACCGATGGATCTTCACATGACCATGAGCCTTGCCCTTCCTGCAGCCTCAGGCATCCCCTCGAGTGACTGCTGCTCTCCTTGGCCCCACAGGTAGGGCGGGCATCCCATGCATGTCCACTGCTACTGGCCTCCAGAAAACATAATGTAGGTTAGCATACAAAAAAAGAGCTGGGAAAAGAGAATGAGCTGGCAAATACCATGCCTGGGACTACTCACACTGATGGTTATGGCGGCTCTGCTGAGACACAGACAGCTGGTAAGCTGCAGGTCCATGATTTGGACCAGCTGCTTACGTGTAAGGCTCACGTAAGCAGAATGGCATGGATCTGTGCTTGGAAGGAGGCTGTGACTACTGTAGGAAAGGCTAGCGCACAGCCGCTGACTTGCAGGCTCTGTGTTTGGGTCCTGCCTGGCCACTGGACTACGAGTGGATAAGGATAGAGCTGGCTGGTGAAGGACAGCAATGTCCCATCCCTGCTTGGATGAGCCTTAAAGGCTTGCTCCTGAGTGCTTGGGTGGCAAGCGTGATGGGGCTCCCAGGAAGCAATTGTACACTGCTGATCTTGAGGCACTCACTGGCCTATGTGGGGCGACGGGACCACCAAAACCAGGCTGGCACCCAGGGCAGGAAAGCACCAGTCCCAAAGAAGCTGGGCAGAGATGAAGAGAAGTCTGCCCTGATTCTGTGAGAGGTTGGAAGCCACACAGTGGCTCTCTTTCAGGGACTGGCTCTGGAAGTCTCCCAGCTTTTGCTGAAGCTGAATGGCTGGTGGAAAATGATTTATTTTAAATTTTCTTTCCTGCATTAGGAACTGGAAAGGCTCCCACTTCAGTTTGTGTAACTGCTTGGCTGCTGTGACAAGGAATGCTCGGAGAAGAACCCTGCTGCTGGCTGGAGCACCAGCTTTCCTTTGAGCCGAGCTGGGCTGCTCCTTGCTGCAGCCTTGCTTTGTCCCAGTGCTTCGGATCCTGCTCCCTCGGGCTTGGCAGAGACAGGGCAGCAGGTCCACCAGGGGGGCTGTGCTCCCACCCTGGTTCCAAGGAGAGGGCAGGAGGCACAGGGACACGCGGCAGAAGAGCCATTCTGTGCGCCTCTTGTGGTGTTGCAGGTAAAGGAGGAAGTAAGCAGATGCCAAGCATGTTGGACAACTTCAGTCAAGATCAGGTGAGGGGGGATGGCAGGAAGGGGAAGGGGTGGCGAGGGAGGCTGCTTGCTCCCAATATGTGGGGTGCAGACTCCGAGAGAGGGAGGGCAATAGGACTTTGCCAGCAGCTGCTAAGTTTGGAAGATGCAGGACAGAGCATGACTGACCCTTCTGGGTCTTTTATCAAAACAAAAAAAAACACCCAAAATGTCTCCTTGCTCTGCTGGACCTACAAGGGTGTCAGTACCATGAAGGGGCACTGGGAGCCCCAGACAGATGTCAGTTACACAGGCTACAGCCCAGCCTAGCTTTTCTACTGGTGCCCTGCGTTGTGAGTTGCCACAAGGGGAAAGAGGGAAGGACAGAAGGTGTCTGTGCTGCCAGTCAGGTGCCACCAGCCTCCTGGCCTTGTGAACCCATGCTGAAACCTGAAGGCACACGTAATCCTCATGTTTACCTTCATTTTGCAGATGTCTTGCACTGTGATGTCCAAAAGCAGACATGGTGACCAGGTGTGGTCTCACAAGCCCTGAACAGAGATGAAGCCTCTTCCCTTGATCTACTGGCTGCACCTTGGCTAACACAACTCCAGGCACACTTGGCCTTTGGTGACACAGAGGCACACAGCTGACATGGTGGTTTTCAGCAGACCACCAGTCAGACCCCAGCCCATGCCAGTGCCTGGCATTCCTCCAGCAAACTGCAGTTGTCTCTGCTAAATTTCATGAGGTACCCTCTAGACTTTCTTTCTGTACTCTTTTTAACTCCTTTTTTTTGTAACTCTTTTTAACTCTTTTTAACTTAACAGCCTTCAGATGGCTCCGGGCTTTGCTGTGAGCCAAGGCACAGGGCAGGAGAGAGCTGGGACATGGCTGCAGAGACAGCAGACAATGCCTATGTGGTCCCGCGAAACAGGGGATACCTCACTTGACTTCTTACTTGGAGGTGGCAAAGAGCCTCCAGGATCTCCGTCACTCAGACTGGGAGGAAGTTTCTTCCTGACCGCAGTCTCAGAGACTACACAGCAACCCAGGTGGTTTCACTTCTCACCTTTGGACAAAACTCGCCGACCAAGGCTGAGGGAGCTTCTGACAGCCTGAAAAGCCCCAGCATGTCTTTACCAGTGTCCCATCTTCTACTCAGAACCACAGAATGGTTAGGATTGGAAGGGACCTATGGGTCCATCTTCTCCAACACCTGCTTAAGCAGAGCCACCCAGAGCAGGTGCCCAGGACCACATCTGAAGATCTCCACACCACAATCTTCCTGAGCAACCTGTGCCAACACTCCATCGTCTGCACAGTACAGAAGAGATTCCTGATGTTCAAATGGAACCTCTCATATTTCAGTTTGTATCCAATGCCCCTTGTCCTGGCCCTGGGCACTGCTGAAAATAGCACGGCTCCTTCCTCTTTGCAGCCTCCCTTCATTGACAAGATCCACTCCCTGAGCCTCCCCTTCTCCAGGCTAAGTAATCCCAGGGCCTGAATAGACTCAGAATCAACTGCAGCCTTACATCACTGCAGAGGTTCTCCAAAGACTGGGGGAACAATTCCTTCAACCTGTGAAAACCCCACAGGGTGGGATGCACTCAGTGCAGTGTGAATGCATCATGGCCACCTGAGAATGCTCCCAAGTTGTATCTCAGGAGCTCTGTCCTCTGAACTTCCCCATGTTGTATTAGACTGACAGGTTAGGAACCTGTAACTCCAATCTTTGGGCTCCTACCAAGTCATTTTCAGCTTCTGGGCGCAAGGCACCCTCCTCACATCTCACCTGCCGACCATCATGGACTGCAGATCTCTGCAGCGCCCTCTGTGCCCTGGGAACCCGTCCCACCCCATTGTGAAGTGGCTGCAGATTTCTCAACACGTTGGTGTCAGAAAGTCACCTTCCATCCTCTTTCTGTGAGAGTGAAGATAGGTTTTAGGCAGCAGCTCTGAGGGTGGGAAGAGGAACAGGTCATAGAATGAAAGAATATCCCCTTTTAAAATACATTTCCCCTCCGCTATGCCTGTGCTTTGCCTTCTTCCCTTACAATACAGTTGACAATAAAAAAGTTACAATTTTCATTGTGAAAATCCTCATTTCTTTCTCCCACAGGCTGAGTCTGTTTGTACACGATTTTGAGGACCTCAATCACATCAGCTCTCAGCTCATTCCCAGACTGCCATCCCAGCCTGTTCTCATCAGGCAGCTCCCCCATCCCCTGCAGCACTTTGGTTCTCTTTCTCTGGAATTCCTCTATTATCTCTATTGAAGTTTGGAGAGCGACAAAGCAGTGTAGTGAATTCCAGATGTGGGCATGGCAAAGATCTACACAGGAGCAAACTGATGCCCTCACCTGGGCTGGAGGAAAACCTGGCTCAACAGGGAAAGGTGAGCACTGGCTGCTGCTAGTCTTACAGCTCACAGCCCCCCGGCTACTGACAGTCACCACTCGTTGGTAATATCCCAAAATCCCAGATGTTTCCATGCATCACTGTCAGCTGAAACTACAGGTCCCATATCCTTCAGCTCCAACATAGAAAAGAGGCCATGGATAAAACATATTCCACAGACT